CTGAGTTCAATAATTTATTAAAAATATTATGTTATTAACGTTATGGTTGAGAGTAACCTAATCAAATTTCGTTCGAGATAATTATCAATATTTTAAATATGCTTTCGTTCGAAAATAAATCATAGAATACTACTATTTTTTGACGACCGGATGGCCTAGTGGTTTGTGTAACGGACTGCAATTCCAAAGGTCGCGGGTTCGATTCCCGCTCAAGTCAAACGGTTGTGTGCATGAACATTTAATGTTTGATTTGGTCTGGGTGTTTCTATGTATAATATGTATGTATTTACAAAAAAAAAGTATATATGTATTTATATCAGTTGTCTAGTACCCATAGTACAAGCTCTGCTTAGTTTGGAACTAGACGGCATTCTGTGAATGTGGTAGATTATTATTATAATTATTATTATTATTATTTAAGGTATTGTTTCCTGTCCTCCGTGATACTTTTTAGTGCAGAAATTCGTCTGAACGATTCTTTTATTTAAATTTGAATAATGTTTATCGCTAGCTATTCAGCTATCAATATTACATCTAAAAACCATTTCCAACTGCAATAATAACTTGATATAACATAATAACAATAAATTGACACGCCAGTCAATACATATTCAACACATATTATCCATATCGATGGTATAAAAGTATTTTTCACATAATAATGGCGCGATTCGTATGTAAATCGAACCCAGACGACACCGCAAACCTGATCCCATTTAAGAAATAAATGTAAAAGCTTTATAAAGCCGCATTGCAGTCCCATTGCGGACCACGAATGTTATGGTATAATATGTACCTACCTAAGTCACAATTCCTGGATGAGGCTAAGTTTTGCAAACATCAAGTAAGAGCAATTTATAAACAGTGAGCTTTAATCCAGTTAACTTAACTTTACACATTTCGGACACGGCATCTTAAACTAGGCAGAACCTGTGCTATGGTAACCAGACTGTCGATATACATAGTTATATTTCTAAATAATATTATAAAATACATAATATAGAGAAAGAGAAGGAAAACTTGAAACAAACCCTATCCCAAACCGTCTGGCCAGCGTGGTATAGTAGGCCAAAACCTCCTTTCTAAGGAGAGGCCTATGTCCAGCAGTGGACTAGTATAGGCTGTTGATGATGATACATAATATAGATAAATTACACCCAATCAGTATTTATACAGAACAAATGATCGTGCTTATCACACAATATTTGTCCTTAGTTTAAGGAATGAACTAATAATGATGAAATCTTTTTTTCTTTCTTATTTGCTGTAACTGCTAAAGGCACCACATCACATATTATACAAGCGCCGGATTCAGGTAATTCTGCATCTCTCGTATCAGTCATAACGATACTTAAAATTAAATAAATATTGATATTTATTTTACAAATTTTATTTAACTTGCAATGTTTGTGTTCGGCACGAATCTTGTTGCTAAATCAGAACTACTTCCCGATGTCCGATTGGGGTCACATTTGGTGTACATATATTGTTTCTTCAGTTACAATACAATAATATGTATACCATGGAGCTATTTTGACGATGAAGCCGGAAGACGGCCAAAAGAACTTCGTAACAAAACAGGATAAGCTCGCTTGTTACTTCTGAGTTACAGGGTTTCAACGGCGGTGGTAGTCACTTTCCATCAGGCGACGGGTCTGATCTTTTGCCCCAAATATCATAAAAACTATCGAATTTGGGCTCATTTGTTTTCTCTTTGTGAGTATTTTGGTGCTACATCATATCCAGGGTTTAATAATGGAGTGGCTCTGGTTTAGCACAGTTTACTTGGCTGTAAATATATACAACAAATTACCTATCCATTAAATCCATTATTACATTAAAACTGAAACTAAGGTTACACTATGCATTAAATACTAAAAGCTTTCTTAATTGAAAAATGTTTTTATTCAGTTAAAGAATAGGTACATTGAAGCAAAACACCCATAACAAAATACATGTATTTTACACGAATAACAGAATAAATATACTGAAACACAATTCATAAAAAAGAAAAATCGGTTTTGATACACAATAATGCTAAGGACAGTAGAAGAATATGTGTCGAGGTAAAATGTCTAAATGCCTTTGTATTTTGCATGATTTAATTCAATTCAATTTTATTGTTACACTATAATATTATTGGGTCTGTGGCGGCTCCCACATATAAAGAACATACTACAGCGCAATCTAACGAAGAAACAAGTTGCTTATCCTGTATCGCGATATGAAGAATTCTTTCACCGATTAGCATATTTACAACTTCCCAGAGTTCACCAAGTGGTGCTAGACGACCGCCGAATTAAAGTGAGAGAGATAGCAGAGGTTATGAACATGTCAAAAGAACGTGTTTGTCACATATCAAATCGACATTTAGACATGAGAAAGCTGTCCGTGCTTTGGGTGCCGCTTTTACACACGTTAGACCAAAAAGGTGTTCTAATGCACATTTCCAACGCTCTGTTGGCGCAGTTTAGGCGCAAGAAATTCAAGTTTTAGAGCCGATTAATTACTGTAGCTGAATTTTGGATACCTACACCATTTTACGCCCGATACAAAAATACAGTCCAAACTGCAAAGGGGGAACCGGCTCCAAAAAAGTGTTTTTTCGGCTGGGTAAGTGATGGCGACTGTTTTTTGGTATAGTCATGGAGTTATTTTAATCGATTATCTCCAAAAAGGAAACCCAACCATTACGCATCATTACTTGACAAGCTGAAGGCTTAACTTGCGGAAAAACGGCCACATTTGCAGAAATAGAAAATCCCGTTTCACTAAGACAACACACCGTCTCACACCTCAGCGGTTGCCATGGCGAAAACTCACGAATTACGGTTTGAACTGCTTGACCATCCGCCTTACTCACCATCCGTCGTCGTTGTCGCATGATTGTCCCAATCCTGGATCACATCCTTCCAGCAATATCCCACATCATTAACTTTTCACTCGACTCTGGAACCTTTCCCTAACTCTGGCTTAAAGCTTTCATCATTTCTTTACCGAAAAAAACTAACCCTCAACACTTACAACCCATTTTTATACTCCTCTTTCTCTCTAAGTTGCTTGGTCTTGCGTACATAAATAGCTCTCACAGTTTGTATACTAGCAGAATCTTCTTAATCCTTTACAATCGGGGTTCAGACCCGGTCACAACACAATCACCGCTCTCCTCAAGTGACTGGCGATATTAGGGAAGGTATGGAGGATTTTTAATACGAGTTCCAACTTGGAACTAAAGCGGGTTAACACAAGGAGTCACACATTAAAAACTCGCAAATATAAGTAGGCATGAAATATAATGTAGTTTAGTAGTAGTATTACCGTGGGAGAGTCATACTTCTGCTTAAACAGGCCGGCTCGACCGGAGTGATACCACGGCCTCACAGACAACCACTGTTAAGGGAGGTTACCGCAGCCCAAACCCCACCTCCCCTTGATCCTGGGGGGGGGGGGGTCAACAATATAGCAACTCACTTGTGACTTGTGTTACAGGTAACAACAAACTTAGGCAATTTCTCGGCGGCTCCACCCGCGTGTCTGTCGGTTATCACCTATATCTTACTCGCTGATAATGTAGCTTTCCATTGATGAAAGTATGTATTTTTAAAATCGGTTTAGTAGTTTAGGCGTGAAGGTATAACAAATAAGCAAACTCACTTTTACATTTATAACATAAGTATGGTTCAGTCAAGTCAAGTCAGGTCAGCAATCCTGTTCCCAATGTTTCTGTAACTGCAGTTGCAAGATGCCAAGTGTGAGTTCTTAATCTAAACCTTAATGTGTTTCCACCTTCCAACTTGAGGCTTAGAGAGCTGTGTCCTAGCTTGGCAGGGACACAAGTCGTCTGCGTTGGTAATACTTCCATCTTTAGCAGTATCTGGTAAGTAATCGCTTTTATCTCGCACAGGCCGAGTCTTAAGCCTGAAATAAAAATTATAATAAAATAAAATACGTAAGTTTATGTAGTAAGTAAACATGTTATGTGTGTATGAATAGGTAAGAGTGGATTCTATAAAGTTTGTTTATGTTTATTAACGCGATATCTCAAATTCTGTCTTAAATTGTTTACTACTACTAAACAATAGCGTGGCAGGTGGCTTTAAATAATTACACACAATCTGAATCGTTAAAATCTACATATTAACAATAATATAATTGTTACACAATCCCAAACACGATATTGTATATCACTCACTCAAAAAGTTTTCGCATATAGCTTATTTATACTGACTACACTTACATCAATCAGAAAAATACCACGTGACATAAACGACATGACAATTTCGTTCTACGGTTTACACCATGGAGACCTTAAAGTCCTGTAAGTGGAAGCGATACAGGCAACAAGAGAGATGGATGCCCGATATTTCCCTCTGTCTCTAGCTAAGCTGCGATTGGCTGTCGTGAAGTGGGTAGGTATGGTTTTGATCGTAGAACAGGCGGAAGACTAGAAATATCCCTACTATATCTGTACTAGAAAGAGATAGAGGGAACTATCTATTATCCATCTCTCTCGTTGCTTAATTTGCAAGATTGGGGCTCTTCTCTCACTTTACTCTATGCTTATATCTCTGTGAGGGCTTTTGTTTCCTCTATGCTTTTATCTCTATGGTTTACACTTTACAAATTAAAACTTGCGTTCCATTTTTCAACAGGTATGTAACGTAGTAGGAAGTATAACTATGTTATTTTAATATTGAATTTATATTTGTAACTAACAAAGTCATAAATTTAATAATTATGAAAATAATAATATACAAAAAATAGTGACATAAAAAAACCTACATTAAAATTTGATATGCGGAATATTGCGGAATGGAACGCAGATATTGTCAAACAATGAAAACATTGAATAATTATTTTGTAAAATATTTACTATGAATTCATACTTTAAATAAATACTATTTTTAGACTTAACTGTCGTATCATAATGAGTTGTTAACAAGATATTAAAGAGTTTACGTAAAGTGTTTGTAAATTTTGTTGTTTTGACACGAATAAACATGTTTAACCCTGACATCAATGATTATCAGCTTACTTCCATTATTACTGAGTGTTGTGGTGGTGTAGCTGTTGTTTACTCAGCGCTGTACAAGCCCAGCAACCAAAATGTCGCTATCAAGAGGTATTTTGTTGATAAAACCAAAGAAAATGCCAGTTTAATACAGGTACTACACATAACAATGTCCTATTTTCATTGTGGCTTTATTTTATATTATGGCCAGTTTGAAGAGATCTAAATGACGTCAAGCATGAAACATATTATGTCTATAGTATATTTTAAAATTTATAGGTCATTCAAGGGCTTCTAAAGGGCAATACTTCATTAGAATTTCAAATAATTCTGCTAAATTAACATACAATATCCATAGACTTTTAGAATATATGGTATTTTTTCTTAATGGAATTTTATAGAGGCACCAGAGCTATTTGAAAGTATTGGTATTGGGTAAATAAACATGTGTCTGAATTAATAATGAGAATCAAATAATTACTATCCAATGTTATGAAATAAAGATAATGAGTTTGAATTTATTATTCCAGCAAGACATCCAGACCAGAAAAGAACTACAACATGCAAATATACTTCCATACTTGACGTCATTTGTCCATGGTCGGGAGCTATATGTGGTGTCTCCATTGATGACGTTTGGCTCCTGTCGGGATATATTGGATCGGTACTTCCAAGAAGGTTTATCAGAGCTGGCATGTGCTATAGTACTAAGAGATGTGCTCCAGGCATTACAGTATCTCCATAAACAGTTATATATCCATAGGTCAGTTTCTGTAAGATGCTATATACATAAGACTTTGTGTATTACTATTTTTGATGATTTTTTGTAATAATTTAGAGTATTGTAAATGCTTTCTATGTGGTGATGAATTCAGTGATCATCACATGGGTGTCATAAGAGCAGACTAAGGGAACAAACCATGCAGGACAACAGCACTTCAATATGAAGGAAAACTTGAAACAAACCCTAAACCAAACCGTTTGGCCAGTGTGGTAAAGTAGGCCAAAACCTCCTTTGTAAAGAGAGCGCTATGTCCAGAAGTAGTCTATTCAATGTTGAAACGAATTAATGTTGACACTGGTACTAAATATGTAGCAACTAAAAACATATTTAACTGTTCTTCTGGAGCATTGATCATGCTCTGAGACTCTGAAAAAGTTTAATATACATGAGATACGGATTCAGAGCCTTTTTCACTACATAGTAACTTTTGTTAATTTTACACTATGAAAATCTAAATATCTAATTAATAGTGACTTTATTTATTCGTCCACAAGACTCCTCTCAAAGTAACAAATATGTAAAGAAGTAGCTGTGTGTGCAGGAGTATCCGCGCCAGCCACGTGCTGGTGGGAGCCACTGGCGGCGTGCGCGTGTCGGGGCTGCGCAGCGCCGCCTCGCTCGTGGCGCGCGGCCGGCGCCAGCGGCACCTGCACCTGCTGCCGCCCGCCGACCACGACAACACCAACCTCATGTGGCTCAGCCCTGAGCTACTGGAACAGGTACCTTACTCTCCTTACTTCACAGCACATTAAGTGCACTACTCAAAACCCATCCTCCATCCCGTCAATCCATGCCACTCCTAACACTTTAGACTTTTTCCTAAGTTTTTTTTTACGGATTAAAAACACTTGTAAATGGGTAGGCATTCGTGTGTTCTATCCCTATAACACAAAAGAGTATCCTCTTACCGAGCTAATTAATCATGCGTCCGGTTCGCGGCTTACGGTTCATATTTGGAATTGTACTGATCAGTCCGAGAACTGACATTGCGCGATGAGCGAGAGAGAGACATGCGAGATTTCGAAATACTTTGTAGTTCCTCGTTATGTTCGCTAGATGGTGTTGCTAAGAAACTCGAAAATTAAATAATATTAAAATTGGATGAAATAAATTAACTGTTTTAAATTGCAAATGTAGAAAATTAATCCTGCTTCACTTATGAAAGAGTAATAAATTGAAAAAATCTCTGGAATGCTGTATTATACTCCTCTAAAGCGTATTTTAGAAGAGTATTATACAGCATCCCATCGACTGCACGGATAGCGTAATGGTTTAAGTGGTCGCCACGCCGCTTACGCCGAGTGTTATGGGTTCAAACCCCACATGGGACGACACTTTGTGTGATCCACAAATTGTTGTTCTGAGTCTGGGTGTTCTTTGTGTCTGTTTCATGTATGTTTGTAAAGTCCCCCGCGACACAGGTTATATTCCTAATGCGGGCGTTGCCTTTTTAAAAAAAGAAAGAATTTAACACTAACTCTTATCCGCACTTGGTATCTTGGACATAAGTTAAGGTGTATATTATATGCGTCATAGCAACTTAAAAATAATTTTTCCACTTTTTGCTGTAATTTGCAGAATCTCAAAGGTTATGACGAGAAGTCTGACATCTATTCAGTGGGCGTGCTATGTTGCGAACTCGCTAACGGCGCAGTGCCGTTTGCCGAAGTGCCGACCACGCTTATGTTCACTGAGAAGGTCCGGGGTTCACGGCCACAACTGTTGGACTGTTCCACGTTCCCTGAACCGTGTCTCGACGAGTCGGAGATGAAGAGTAAGTAAGAATATAAAAAATATCTACTAATCTACCTAAAGACATGCAACTCACAAGAGTAGCGTTGAATGTTATTTGCTATAACATGGACCTGTAATACGTGAGGCCTGGGTTCGATTCCCGCCCGGGACGAGTGGTTGTGTGATAGGCGGGTCAGTATGTGCCGTGTCTGGGAGTGGTTTGTCTGTGATGTGTATGTCATCTGCCTACCCTTTTCTCAATTTTATTTGGGGTCGGCGCAGTATGTATGATTTTTCCATTCTACTCTATCATGCGTCATCTCACTGTTTACTCCCTTCCTAGCCATATCCTCCCTGACGCAGTCCATCCACCTCTTCTTCGGTCTGCCTCTTCTCTTGTACCCTTCTACTCTCATACCTAAAACTTTCTTCGCCACATTTTCCTCATCCCATGACATGCATGACATGTCCATACCAAGATAATAAGTATGATTGGATGTATGTGAGTGTGACTGTGTGTCCGGCTGTAGTGATGAATGAGGTTGCTAAAATTGTTTATAAAATAAGTGTTACTATACATGTTTTTAACAACGAATGGCTATACTATTGTATTAGGTACAAAACCTGTAAAAATAGTTGTATTGTGTGTCATATATAAATAAACTAGCTGACCCGGCAACCGTTGTATTGCAAAACAAAAAAAAAATAGGGATGGGTCACCCTTACCATTTAGGGGTATGAAAAATAGATGTTGGCCGATTCTCAGACCTACCCGATGTGCACACAAAATTTCATGAGAATCGGTCAAGCCGTTTCGGAGGAGTACGGGAACGAACATTGTGACACGAGAATTTTATATATAAGATAAAAAAAAAGCTCTGACCCCCTTTATTTGCAATTTTGTATTGTATTTTTAGGTATGTACAATACAGACAGTGGAGTGGGAGATAGCGCGGATGCTGTGTCTCGACTAAGACAAGTTTACGCCGGTCGTAAGCTATCAGATACTTTCCACCATTTAAGTGAAATGGCGCTACAGAGGTCAGTAACATTAGTTTAGACCGGGGTTTTTTATTCTAACTATAGCATCACTTTGTATTTCTGTAAATTTAAGATTAAATATTAAAAAACTTGAAAATTTCAGAATTTGGCTCATCAACAGCCTTTAATAGTCCACTGCTGGACATAGGCCTCTCCTTAGAAACGAGGTTTTGGCTTACTATACCGCGCTGGCCAGATGGGTTATTATATGGTTTGTTTAAAGTTTTCATTCCCTTTGCAGTGCTGTTATCTTACTTAATTTACTCCCTTAGTCGACAACCACGGGATGAACAGGGGTAGTGACCCTCCCTATTCTTAATCCACACGGATTACTGTTATCTCTGTTATCTCCAATTAAATTAAACTTACATCTTGAAGGGATCCAGAGAAGCGGCCATCAGCAACACAGATGTTGAACCACGCGTTCTTCAAGCAGATCAGAAAGACAGACTACCTACCAGGGCTTATTGGTAGAGTCAAACCCATCAAGCCTGACCCTAGTGAGTTACATTTTGATACGTAAAGAAATAAATAATAGATTTTCTTTTACAACACTTTGCTTTCAATAACTGTGTTAAGACGGAAGTGCCAATCAATATTTGTTTGTATGTCTCCCTATCGCTCAACAGATGGCGCTGTCGTTGAATTAGATGTCGATATAATTTATTACCGACACGCGTATATAAGGGAACTTTTGTTTTATTTTTAATGGATCTTGGGCTACCTTGGTGTCTTATTTGAAAGTGGCTCCTGTCAACACTGTTGGAAATCCCCAAGTAGTTTTTGGTAAAAAATGTTAATGAGTAAATGATTTTACTGTTATCAATACATATTGTATATATTGACTGCACGGATGGATAGTGGTTTAAGCGGTCGCCATGCCGCTTCTTACTGCGCCGAGTGTTGTGGGTTCAAACCCCACATGGTACGACACTCTGTGTAAACCACAAATTGTTGTTCTTAGTCTGGGTGTTGTTTGTGTCCGTTTCATGTAAGTTTGTAAAGTCCCCCGCGACACAGGATATATTACTAATGCGGGAGTTGCCTTTTAAAATAGATATATATATATATATATATATGTATGTGTGTATGTATAATTGTATAACATATATACATATGTATTGTTACACTACTGTAGCTTCAATACTATACAATCCTAGCGTAACCAGTGTTTCTTCTCATCTACTGTCGATTTGTGCATCCAAAGGTTGCCTGTAAGAGATTGCTTTTGTATGCCGCCCATTGTACATATCCGTCTGTAATATTTAACTAACATGCTGTAATTGGTGTACAGTAAAGCGTATTCTATTTGGTTGGTGACCTGTTGGTATAGGGGTTTGTGACCCTGACTTCTATGACAAAAGTCGTGGGTTCGATTCCCACCCAGAACAAATAATTGTGTGATGAGCATGGTCATTTGTTCTGTTTCTGGGTACCTTTATCTATAATATGTATGTATTTAGAAATATAAGTATGTTTATCAACGGTCTGGTTACCGTAGTACAGGCACTGCCTAGTTTGGGATTTGGAATACAAATTTTTGGTTAAAAGAGGATTATTTTTATTCCAGATGACATATCCGCACTGCTGTTACAAGAGAAGCTGTCAGAGATGGATATAGAGAAAACTACGGAGTGGGACTTTTAGCAAATTTAGCGCAGTGACGTTTGTCAGTGTACCTGTTCTATACGTCTTCATCTCCACTCAATCTACACGGGCCTTAATAATAGTATATTCAAACTAACCGTTTTGTAAGCGTTTGTGGTCGCTGCTCCACTCTTAACATGGTTTGAAATGCAAAAAAAAATATTCAAATCCATCCAATAGTTTCAAAACAAACTCTTCAGTTGTAAACTTATATTATCTGTAGTAAGCTTTGTGACGTCACATTTCAAAATTTATAGTATTAAAACACAAAATATTAATTGTATACGAAAATCTTAAAAAGAAATCTATCTTTATGATATATAAGGTTCATATTGCCTTCTTTTAGTTCTCACTTCCAACCGTAGTTTTAAATAAATAATTGCTGCTTTTATTTATTTACTTCTGAATATAAAATGTGTGACGTCACACTAGAAAGGTGACCCACATATGTGATCACCTGTAACCTGTGTGGGAAAATACAAAAATCGTGAAACGTGATTGATGGATGGCCCTAATGACTTCAATTATTAGGGGTCATGTATATATTACGTTCGTATTCCACGGGTTATTTAAAAGCCAGTTTTGGTTTACATGAACGAGTTTATATTGACAATAATTATGTAGATTTGGAGTAAATTGAAGGAGGCGTATAGTCCAGGTTGTTTTAACATGAATTTATATTGTAATGTTAGTTGAATTAGACCAGATGTTGCCGCTGTGATTATTAAAGAACAATTTTATGTGTTAATGTTGTTTTTCTTAACCGACTTAAAACTAGCAAGTTTTAAACCCGAGTTATAAAATATGCAAACTGTTTTCGACCTTATGTGGCTACAGAATAAAAATGAGATTTAAATTAGTTTTATTAGACAGCCCAGTGTGAGTTTATTTTACATCAAGTCGCTCTCGACGGCAAACGTGTTGGGTGATGTAATTTGTAAAGATTTCAGTACGGGCCAAACGCGGTCACCATAACGATTGAGTTAATATGAAATAAGCTCAGACTAGGCCCTCTTCTGCTGTTGTCTTGTTGAAATTATTTACATGCCATAAACACTTCTATAAAAAATATAATTGTTATTTAATAATATAATTAATTGTATGTATTTTTTTAACTTTCGTTTTTTTTTATGGAAGAATTGGCAAACGAGAAGTTTGGTCACCTGATGGAAAGCGACTACCGCCATCCATGAACGCCTGCAACTCAGATTCACCTTTTTGATAACCAGGAGGCCTTTGAGGGAGGGCTACGATCTTTTCTTGAAGGTTTGAAGGTCGTATCGGTCCGGTCATTATTTGTTACGGGTATATAATATTTAAAGGGTTGTTAGTTCATAATCTAAATCTCTTAAAACTTCTTTACCTGGAAATATTGCATACAAGTTTCCAAGAATACAACAATCGAAAAAGGTTGAAAAATTACTTTTACTGATAATTTATACATTTTAAATTGATTGTACCTTTAATGTACAAGAAAATATTTTACAAATATGTCATAAAACTTTTCTTTGTTTCGCATTCGTCGAGAAATATCACGCGGTAAAAGTAAATCACATAGCGTTGAGAATAAAGTCGAATATCGCGTGCAGCCACGTGGCGGCCGCGCGCGCTCCTGCGTCTTCGCCCTTCGTGTAACTCGACGACACGTACGACGCGCGGCCCGCCCTGGAACAACGTTTCAATATTATTATTATTTTATTTACACTTTGTGACAAAGGCGGACTTAATGCCGTAGGCATTTTCTCCTAGTCAACCGTAGGGCGATACATATCAAAACATGGTAGATGCACAAAAGAAATAAAAAATGTAATTTTATGAAAAATATAGCATATATAGGATATCATATACCCATAGTACTCATATTAGTTACATAAGAATATTTTTTAATAAATAAAACAAATACAATAAGTGATAATAATACTAACACACACAATACATAAGAATTTATATATACATACGAATTTATTTATACACATATTTATATATATAATTATATTATAGACATATATATATCCACATAATAAATTCTAAAAGAGAAAATAAAATATATATTTTGATATTTGTGTATTTTTATGTATTGTACGTGTATACTTGGGACCTCTATGTATATATGTAGTAATGAATACAGTTGTTTATTTGTGTAAATTATACCTAAGTTAGAGTTACATTAATTTAATAAATTTAATCTAAATAAATCAAATTTCCTGTTTTCTCTTGCACCTACCGCATAATTTTTACACGTTTTTTTTACGCGTGATTTTGACTAACTTTAAAAATTCGTTAAAACTTTCTAGATATATCGAGGACCGATGACAATACACTAATTTAAAATGAAATAAAAATATACAAAAGAAAATAGAAAATAAATTTTAATAAATTTGAAAAAAAAAGCGTTGGGTGCACGTTGTCAAAATTTATTTTTTTTTGAAATTTTTGAAAAGTTTTAACGAATTTTTAAAGTAAAAAAAAAGCGTGTAAAAATTATGTTATGTATTTTTAGTTTGGTTTTCTATAAGTTAAATTTTCTATAAATAAAGTTTTTTTTAACTATTTTTCTACATCACATTCAAGGTCGACGTGCAGAGAATGCGCTTAGCATTAAGTCCGCCTGTGTACAAATTGTGCATTATATTACTAACTAGCTGAGGCCCGCGGTGTTACCCGCGTTTGTTGTTATAACCGCGGGCAACGCCGCGGGGCGAAGCTAGTCTAAAAAAAGTAGCCTAAGTTACTCCTTATGTCATCAGCTATCTGCCAGTGAAAGTCCCGTCGAAATCGGTCCAGCCGTTCCACAGATTACCCGGAACAAACAGACAGACAGACAGACAAAAATTGTAAAAATGTTATTTTGGCATATGTACCGTGTAAACATACATATGCATTTAGTAAAAAGCGGTTATTTTTAATATTACAAACAGACACTCCAATTTTATTTATTGTATAGATGTATAGATAGCACTGGAATACACTCAATCTATCATCAGTGGCGACAGCAGTGTGTTCGTATTGTGGATTTGTCATTGAGTTGGTGCGGCACACACTGGCGTCCCACAAGGCGGAATATTATCTCCGTATTTATTCTCCATATTTATTTTACTTACAAATAAATAAAACAAAACAAATATTTTGTCAATGTGCCATCGATTTACTTACCGCTTGCATTTATATTATACTAGCTAATTAACTAAAGCACACTATAAAAAACAATAATGTAATATTGCAATGCTGTACTTACTTTGCAACCATTGTCGCAGTAGCTCGGGTTCCCATTTCCACAGCTGCCCCAGTTTCTCTCATCAACATATTGAGGTTCTCGTGGATTTTTTCTTTGAATGCCTCCGCGCCCGCGTGTAATGTGTCAAGCTGTAAAAAGCATTTCAAAATAAACAAATACATTATTTATTTAAATTCAAACTTAGGTAAAACAATTTGATTCAAAACGGATTAGTTCTGTCTATTGTTCGGTAACTCGTTTTGTTTAAATAGTAAGTCCCTTCATACGAAACTAACGCCCGGTTTTAAAAGACTGATTGCCGCAAATTATTTAACTTGCAATTCAAGTAAATGTTGAATTTATAAAAACATAATTGACGGCCTCGGTCTCGGGTTCGATTGCCGGGTCGGACCAAATGTTTGTATGATCTGTAAATATTTGTTTCAGCGTTTGGGTGTTTTTTATGTATTTACGAAAAAAAAGTATGTAACTATTCTATTAGACAATCTCGCTTTCACAGTATAAGCTCTGTTTAGTTTGAAACTAGATGGCGTTGTGTGTCAGATGTCTGTCATATTTAAGCACTTTGATTCATAAGCTGCAATGATACTGACTAGGTCTCAGACACGTTATTCGTCATAGCACCTTAATTTAAAAACGTTATTACCGATTGGCGCATAACTACTAGAACTTACTTTCTAGAATTTAAATATTTATGTAACCAATGCCCCCGATAGTTGAAAAGGCGTATCTAACATTCTACACGAATTTGAGTTATATACATATATTGCCGGAATTAAAAAAATGCGCATCTGATTATATTTTTAATATTTTTCTGCCTTGCTTCATTGCAATTTTAGCACAACAAAATAAGGCGCTTATGGAGAGACGAATTCATCTAAAACTTAAATTAATAGCCGCATTTACATAAATACGCATATATTTTTTACGAAATTTTTAAGTTCGGTAATCTAAAAGCCGTATATTAAACTGTAATTTGTAATTAATAAGGCACATGAAAACATTTACGCCTAATGCACTAATTCAAAACTGCTCTCACACTAAAATCGTCTATATCTGCCACTTGCGCCCTATTTCCTTTGTAAAGTTAGTAAAGGTAAAACAAAGGCGTATTTTTTTCATATACGGCTTAATACTTACGTTGGGCAGAACACTATCGAAAGTAGACACTTTAAATCAATTTTATTGCTTAGTGTAATCATTAGAGGCTTTAAACGGAAAATATACCGTTATAGGTAAATCTATTTTCGAGTTAATGTGTCAGATAAAAAATAAATCAGATGATTATCTTCTCGGTTTTGAATACTTAAGTAAAGAGGAGCATATAATCAAATGCACCTTTTTTTCTTAAAACATAAAGTACAGATCTACAGACAAATACTTGGACTAAAAGTACTCCAAAAAGCGTTTGAGATTTAAATGGCGCATCTCGCTAGTTGCATCTATTCAAGAGTAATTAAGAACATTATTAAGAAAGTATCATTTTTTACATTTTTATAATCACTTAAAAATGTTTATATTTTTATTACTTGGTGTCAAAGACTGTGTTATCATTCCCATATTTTTTTTTTTTATAGAATTATTTTAATTTACTCAAAGACTCAAAGCGAACGATTTCCCATTAAATTTATTAAAAATATTTTTATCTCAATTTTGACTTGTCAGACAGAATTAACGTCGTATCTAGTCCTATAGAAAACATGCCCTTTACAGACGCATCCTAAATGCTTATTTTGCTCTCTAGGAATATAAAATAATGTGCATTCATTATGGTCACTTACCATAGTCCTGTCCCCAGGATCCGCACCACCATATTTAGAAATGGCTTCTATGGCAGCCTGCCACGCTTGCAGCCAAGCCCCAACATCATTTGTTTTCGCACTGGAAGAGCAACGATATAAAAATATGAAAAACGATCCTATGACGAGTTGTTTCTATAACTATATATTTTGTCCGTGTGGTGATGGATTAATAATACGGAGTGTCGCCTCACATATTCATTCCGTGGGTGTCGTAAGAGCTGACTAAGCGAGCAATCTATAAAGGATAACAGCACTGCAAAGAGAAGGAAAACTTGAAACAAACTGGTCTGGTCAGCGTGGTGTAGTAGTCCAAAACTGCACGGATGGCGTAGTGGTTTAAGTGGTCGCCACGCCGCTTCCTACTACGCCGAGTGGTGTGGGTTCAAACCCCACATGGGACGATACTTTCTGTGATCTACAAATTGTTGTTCTGAGTCTGGGTGTTCTTTGTGTTCGTTTCATGTATGTTTGTAAAGTCCCCCGCGACACAGGATTCCGTTCCTAATGCGGGCGGTGTCTTTTTAAAAAAATTGGCAGGCTTTGAGTCCTCTCCCAGAGTCAAAGGATTTAGGCTTCGTTAACCTCACTCAATTACTCGGTGAAAACAACGAAAGATTTGCTTAACACCGGTTTTCTGTGAGACCCTGGTATCACTCTGGTTGAACCAGCCCCTGGCTCTCCCACTAAACTCAAACTATTGCTCGGTGACATGACTTTTTTTTAAATATAAGTTACTTATTACGAGATTGACTCCCTGTTTTCTATGTATAATATGTGTGTATTTACAATAAAAAGTATATAAGTATTCCATTAGTCAATCTAGCTTTCATAGTATAAGCTCTGCTTAGTTTAAAAATAGATAGTGTTGTGTCAGATGTCCGTAAAAAAATTAAGCACAACTATGATTCGATCACCAAATTAGTTAGGACTGTCAAATATTACATCAAACGCAATTCAAACACTAAGCACTAAACTCAAAGTCAAAATATCTTTATTTCATAAAAATATTTAAATAATTTGAAATCGTCTCTTGTGTGGCCTCTAAAGTCATAAATCAACACACCCAATAGCAACAATCTTTGTTTTGTCAAATATTTAGCATACTAAATATATATGTATCGAAACGTATAGTACGTAATATATACGTACTCTTATATGCCTGTATCGATTGTTATATATATGTATATATGACTGTATCAAGGGGTTGAGCCTCATGAGAAGAAATGGCAAACAAACTAAAAACGTAACTTTGTCTAATTTAAATAGGGCTAATGCAAGTCACATATCCAGTGTTGTGACTGTTGTACACCAAGATCGACAAAATGGTCTATAAGGTCGATATGTATTGTATTATACTAATCATTTAAAAAGAAAATAAACTAAATTATTTCAAATACTTCCCTCTACTCAAAAATCTTAACGATTAGGCAGAACCTAGGTAAACAGATTTTCTATAGCTCTAACTAAAAACACACTCCATTTAAGTCGCCTTTAAATTTCCATAAAAGAAACCTGCTAAAATTCCTTTGGAATGTTACCCCAAATAAAATACGGAAAAGAGAGAGAGACGATAAAAATATATATAATGTTTGTACCTCGCCATAGTCTGCGAAGCGGCCGCCAAGCCTAAACTGTAAATTCCTCCAGACGTCCCTCCCATATCTGTCTCGGCGATATCAGAGAGATCCCACAATACATCGGATGGGTACTCCATTGAGGCTGTGGTCAAATATTTCAGGACGGCTAAAACCAAAAGTGAATACATGGGTAATTAATTTATATTAGATCACCAAGCGACATCCCTGGTGATGTTGCTTTCACCGCTTGGTGATAGGTGAGTCGGTTAAGGTGACCGTTCATCACCAAGTCTAGTTGATTGTAAACTCACTGTCATAAAGAAAGCGATAAATGATCTGCCTTACTGTCGATTTTTTCAATTAATTTTGGGTGTTTTTACAAATATATGTGCGTAGGTATGTTGATCACCAGCGTTGTTAACATAGTGAGGTTTCTGCCTAGTTTGAGATCAGATGGTTATGTGTCTCAAGTAATTATATTATCTCAATAATTAAAAAAGTTGCAAAAATATTAGTATTACCATGCCCAAAATTCTTGAACGTCGTACCGCAGTCTCCATCGCCACAACCTGAATCCAGTTTATTGAGCAAGCTCTCGTTCTTGACCAGGTCTTCAGCTGCAGCGGATAAACTGGCCCTGAATATTTCTTGATGGAGTGGTAACAAAGCTGGTCCAGTAGCTGTCTACAATCGAATTAATTGTTTTAAACTTTCAGTTTTATTGAAGTTGAATTTTATTGATGTGTAAGAAATTTGAACCATGCGATACCACCTCCTCAGTCCGGTCACTCACCATCATATATATATATATATCAGCGGTCATGTTGCCATATCACAGGCCTAATTTACCTAATTAAGGATCAGACGGCCGTGTGTGACTTGTGTGAAAACGCGGAATTTTATAGTATAAACGATAAATGATATTTATTTCTGTAAGTCTTTCTAATCTTTCATATATTTTTACAAGTCAGATTTTACAGCTAAAATGAGCCGGCATTTCCTAAGACTCACTCTGGGAAGGAACTCCGAAACACCAAAGAGGTGTTGAAAGAAAACTGTTTTTTTTTGGTGTTTAACCAAAAAAAAACAGTTTTCTTTAAACACTGTTTATTAAAAAAGGCAACTCCCGCACTAGGAATATATCCTGTGTCGTGAGGGGCTTTACAAACATACATGAAACGGACACTAAGAACATCCAGACTCAGACCAACAATTTGTAAATTGTGTTAAAAACAAAGTGTTGTTCAATGTGGGGATCAGACCCACAACACTCAGCGCAGTAGGAAGCGGCGAGGTGACCACTTAAACCACTACGCCATCCGTACAAGGATAGTACAGTATAGTATACCTTTCGTCCATGAGTCGTGAGTAAGGTGTCATCATCAACGTGTGGTTCATCACTTCTGACTGACAAAGGACCTACACTCCACGCGCCACTGTCAGTAGGCGCGTCAATGAGCTCCAGCCAATAGTCGCCGTTCTCCTTGTTGAGGTGCAGCAGACAGATTTGGAAGCCGTGCATCTCTAATGAGCTCTTGATGTGTCCAGAGTATATTCTTTCCAGTACCATGTTTTTGTCCTCTGGAAATTAGATATATGTAATATGTACAACGTCCGAAAACGGTCCATCTACAGAACTTTGATATCGCTTAGTACTAGGGTTCTGGAGGTCTGATGGAAGTCGTTCCATATAAAATATCGGAGTTCAGACTGAAAGCTGACCCCAGCCTAGTTTTGGGTGAAAGCTTGGAGGATCATTTTGATTATAAAACACAATATTTGCTGACAAATCTTTTACTGTGCAAGCAGTAAGACTTTGGAACAACTTGCCTTTGACAATCCGACAAGCTGAAACTGATTTTTATCTGACATTATAAATACTGTTGGTTTCATTATATATAGTATATATTCTGGACAGTATATATATATATGTTGTGTGTATGTCTATTAAAAATGTACATATATAAATATGTATATGTATATTTTTAAATTTTGTTTATGTATGTGTGTATGTATGTATGTGTATTTATCTATGTGTAGTGTGAACAGGTGTTTATTAAGTGTAGATGCTTTTGTTAATATTTTAAATATTCACGTGATATGCGTTACGTCGTATGTAACTACACAACTTTAAATAACAATATCCCGTATCAAGGTTGTCTGGAAGAGATCGCCGTGAGCGATAAGACCGCCGATTGTTACGTCTATATATTTATAATGTCTTATGTGTTAACTGTAAACAATAAAGATATAAATAAATAAATATTTTACATGTTTTGATTACATATTTGTTTAAATTGAAATTTAAAAAAGACTAAGAAAAGCTTACCAAAGTAATTGTTGATCTCAGCACTGATTATGTTCATCTCGAAAATGGATGTTCCTCCTAAATTGTTGATACACGCCACCACCCTATCGCCTGAAGCCAGCTTCAAGTGATTAACTATCTGAATAAATGATTTCACATAATTATATGTGGTGTGGTAACGGATTAAGAATACGGAGTATCACCGCCCCTATTCATCCCGTGGGTGTCGTAAGAGCCGACTAATGGAGCAAACTACGCAGGACAACAGCACTGCAAAGAGAAGGAAAACTTGAAACAAACCCTATACCAACCCGTGGTTCATGCGTGTAGTAGGCCAAACCTTCTTTCTAAGGAGAGTTATGTTCAATGGTAGACTACAAAGGCTGTGATTGAAGTGCAGTTTAACACATGCACGAGTTTGAAAGTCTGCATCGCTTACATAAATATACATAAAAATTTATAACAAATTATAAGCTAAACTAAGTTTTTGTTGGTTCATTTCCCGGTAAATATAGGTCTTTAACTATGAAATTGCCGTTTTGTATGCAATAAAGTGTAAGTACTTATTTTCAACATTTTTTATTTCTGTTATTCGAAGTAATCGCCCATGCATCGAGCCTCTTTGCCAACGCATTGGCAGTTTGTTGATGACATTCTGTAAAAATAGTGGACGGGAGGCAACAAACTCTTCAAAGGCATTTTGTACTGCCTCTGGGAATTGAATTTTTTACCACTAAAAATTGTCTAAATTTTGGAAAAAGTAATAGTCGTAGGGTGCAAGGTCTGGTGAGTAGTGCGGATGAGGGAGAGCTTCCAACCCCCGCTCTTGCAGCTTGGAGATGGTCCGTGCGCAGTATGGGGTCGCGCGGTTGTCGTGAAGGAGCAGTGGGACGACGATTGACCAAAGCTGGTTGCATATGTGACCACCAGACCTTGCACCTACCGACTATTACTTTTTCCAGGTAAAAACTAAACTTTTTTAGGGTAAAGACCTATTAATTCTACTCTCTTATGAAATCTTTTGTAGTCGATAGTTACTCTCGATCTTAAGACTCGAATGTTTTAATTATATACCCATTATCTATTCAGATTGAATACCTTATCAAGTATCACCGAAACCAGTTCTTTAGCGGTGCCCATCTTCATTTTGGTGATGCCAGCTTCTCCGTGAACTCCCGCACCGAGCTCAATTTCATCATGTTCTATCTCGAATAATGGAGGCTGGCCTGAGATACATACCATTGTAATTTCAATAAAAAAAATACCAAAAAGATATTAATTTCCATAAAAAAGATACATTAAATTTGGGGCAACCCTAACGCTGACAGGGTTGCCACAAAATTAGCAAAGATATTTATGGCAGTTTTCTAGAGTACTATTTAATACTGTGGTAATCGTCTACACATACTATGTAGTGCTAAACGGATTTCAATCTATACAAATAAATAAAATTAGAGTGTCTGTTTGTAATATTAAAATAACCGCTTTTTACTAAATGCATATGTATGTTTACACGGTACATATGCCAAAATAACATTTTTTACAATTTTTGTCCGTCTGTCTGTCTGTTTGTTCCGGTAATCTCTGAACGGCTGCACCGATTTTCGCACGGGACTTTCACTGGCGTGCTGCTGACATAAGGAATTAACTTAGGCTACTTTTTTATAGACTAGCTTCGCCCGCGGCGTTCGCCCGCGGTTATAACAACAAACGCGGGTAACACCGCGGGTCTCAGCTAGTTAAGAATAAAATGTAAATGGCCAACAATAGATACTGTTTTCTTTAATTTTGTTTGTCCAAGCATGAGCCATTTATACAAAAACTACAGAATTAATTTATGTAATTTTAATGACACAAACACGTAAAATTTAAATTGTCCACATTGAAGTTGCAGAATAACTGTATTTTTTCTTCTAAACCCTAGCGAGCAGAAATTTTTGGAAAGTAGATTTCGACAGAATTTAACTCCCGAAGTCTTGGTGTCACCTCCTCGGTCTTGTCACACTACCTAGGTGTACCACGAGATAAAATAGAGAATGTCATCATACCAGGTAATGAGCAGGCACTGAGACAGACCCCTAACGTTGCCATGTATTTAACTGCCTCGGCAACCACCTTATGAATAGTAGGCAAATCATAGTGTCTTTGAGACAACGCTCCACATATCTGGAAAAAAAACGATGTTGATAAATTAGTATTATAATAATTAGATAGTTTATGAAATAAAAAAAAACCGGGACAGATATGAGGCCGAGAGGGTTCCGTACCTACCCAGATTTTACGTAGATTTTCGCGAAAATTTATCTTAATTTTCAACTTTTTTTAATTTTTTTAATTATTCCTTTATTTGTGCTGTAAAACGTTTCTTTTACCATAAAATATATATATATATATATATATATATATTTAATTTTATATTTTTTGCACAAATATATGCATTAGTGAACTTAATGCCTAAGGCATTCGATTCGAGGCGATGCTGAGAAAGATGCTAAACAATATCTGTTAACCCCGCCCCCATAAATGCACCTACCTCATGTAGGTGCATTTATGGAGGCGGGGTTAACAGATATTTTTTATTAAATACCAACTTTTTTAACCTTTGAGTTGTCAAATGTATACAGTGGTATTGGTTGTGGGCTTCGGTTGCCGCATTTAGACTCAAGAGTGGCCCTTTATGAGTCGAGTGAGCCAACCCAGGAGCAAAACAGTACACAGTGGTATATGTTTTAAGTGTAGGTGAGGAACTAGGAGCTCGTTGAATCTGCCATTTCACTCAGTAAATGCACTCACTTCACAAACATATATGCCGAAGCATAGCTCTCCCACGCTTCTTTCATGATAAAAGAAGAAAGAGAAGATAGATAAGTAACTAACCTTGTAACAAAGAACTTCTGCGATCATTCCTCGTCCACCCGTCTTGTTTTCGCTTGAAGCTACATCTTCGCCCACTATCAGACTTTCAACCTAATATAGAAACATTGATGGCTTAGATATATTTTTCTTTTTAAAACACGACTCCCACACTAGAACTATATACTGTACTGTACTAGAACTATATCGGAGGACTTTACACACATACATGAAACGGAGACAGAACACCCAGACTCAGAACCACAATTTGTGGATCACACAAAGTGTTGTTCCATGTGGGGTTCAAATCCTCAACACTCAGCGAGGTGACCGCTTAAGTCACTACGTCTACGCGTCGATAGTAACTTCTGTGTACACAAATCAATAAAATTTAAGTGTTTGTTTGTAATATCATAACAGCTATTTAAAAAATGATTACTTGGTACTTAACAAAACTAAAAAGTATTTTTTTATATTATTGTCTATATGTCTGTTGATTGTATGGACTAATCGGTAAACCGATTTGACTGAGAATTTCCCTAGTCATTTCTAATTTCATAACTTTATGTAAAAAGTTAGAAAATCCCCAAATAAAGCAATTATTTAAATAAATTATTTGTGTTCTTTCAATTTTTATTTTAAAGTGAAACCCTTGACACCGATTATTCTTAGTTAAAAAGTTAATTAAAAAACGATTTGTATTTTCGAGTGATCCTAGATTAATATAAAATATAACATTTATTTTAATAACACATAAGATGTTATACATATTTTGTAAACCAGTGACCAATTCAATTTAATTGATGGTTTTCATTCCACCAACCTTGATTCCAGATATCTTAGCTTTTTCTATAGCTTTTCCGAAGTTTAGTCTGTCACCAGTGTAATTACCGATAAGCACCAACACTCCGCCTGTAAAATACATAAAAAAAAACATAATAAAAAACTCAAATAAACATTCGGTCCTCACAAAGTGCACGAGAGATATTCAATTGTAGTTTTGGCGACCGAATGGCGTAGTGGTTTGTGTAACGGACTGCTATTCCAAAGGTCGCGGGTTCGATTCCCGCTCAAGTCAAACATTTGTGTGCATGAACATTTAATGTTTGATTTGGTCTGGGTGTTTCTATGTATAATAAGTATGTATTTACAAAAAAAAAAAAAAAAAAAAAAAAAAAAAAAAAAAAAAAGTATATATGTATTTTTTATCATTGTTTAGTACCTAGTACAAGCCTCTTAGTTGGGGGAAGATGGCTTTGTTTTATGTGGTAAAATATTATATTTTTAATTTAAGGGGCTTATGCCTCTTCTTGGAAAGGATTTTTGGCCACGGGCCAAAAAACCTTTTTTCCATAGAAATCCCACGCTGGCCTGAGGGGTTGGATGGGTTTTTTGCGTCAATTTTTCCTTCTCTTGCAGTGCTGTTTTCTGCGTATTTTCTCCCTTATGGCTCTTAGACACCCACGAATAAATGGGGGTGGTGACGTCTGTATTCCTAATCGTCACACCACGGAAAAAAAATAGTAGTTACTTTATTTAAAATTTGTTTTAAAGGGCAAATTTTTTTTTACATGAATAATACTTTACAAATAGTATATCGATTAATATTTTAGGTGGGGTAAATTTGATACTTTTATTATTATTAGGGAAAAAAACTTATAGCAAAAACATCATCATATCAACCCTTTAAACCCCGGTATATTATAATTGACCCTGCTTCCCCCCCCCACTGTGGTAGGCCCCTTTCCCTTTGAAAAACCCCCTAGAAGGCGCTTTATAATAGGCTGGGGGAAAAGCAAAAGGTCTCAGCTAGTCTTTTGGGAGAGCTAGTATACCGGGATTTCATTTTTTATTTAATTAAATTTAATAACGTTTTCCGGAAATTTTTTTATAAAGTGGCAATCGGTACGGGGCATGGGCCCGTAGGAGGAGAGGCAAAAACCCCTCCAGCAACCGCCCCATCTAACATACCATTGGCGACAAATCCTGAAATGTTAGAATGTCATTTTAACGTCAACATAGTAATATTATTATTTGTCAATTCAAAGAAAATCAAAAGATAAGTCACTCATGGGAGGATTTCATCGCTCCGAGAATAATGCGGAGAAATTTAGACTGAATTTTGTCGTGTTTTTGGAGACCAGATTTATTTATGGGCTCTAAAACAAATAAGCCGTAATCCAGGTGACTGCGGACTATAGCGTTGTATAGAAGTTTTTGGGAAAAAGTGTGGGATCCCTACCAAACTCCAGAAAGGGAGCGTCATATGAAACACTTTAGATTATCTAAAAGCAAGCAAATAAAATGTCATCTGCCTTATCCCCCTTATCCCAATTTTATGGGATCGGCGCAGTAAGTATGATTCTTCCATTCTACTCAATCATTCGTCATCTAAATGTTTACTCCTTTCCTAGCCATATCCTCACTCACACAATCCATCCACATCTTACACAGGCCTTCCTCTTCTCTTGTACCATTCAACTCCCATACCTAACACTTTCTTGGGCACATAAGTAAATAAAATTTGTGTAAATTCTGTTTGATCTATGCGGTTAGTGACCCTGACTGCTAAGACAGATACTTTCGCTTTTGTGTCTCATAAAAACAGGTAAAGTTAAATATTTTTAATCGCATTAAATTCCTAATTTTGGAATTATTTAAACCATTAATGGGCAAATTCATAAAAAAACATTTCAAAAACATTGCATGAGTTAGAAGTAAGTTTTTACGGATTATCTCTATCATGGATTGAATAATTTCATTCCAAGCATATGTCGGATTTAAAAATTTTAACGCAACACAGTCCTTCTGCTTTTAATGAGAATCAGAGCTGATAATATCTAGAAATTGAAACGGTCATAACTTTTTAACGAATGGGTTTTTTAAGTAGTTGTTTTTTGTATATGCATGCTAGAGTTACGTCCTTTTCGCTATTTTAATAGGTGTTCCTTTTATTCGTACACCCGCTATATAAACTACCCAACGTCAACCGCTGGCTGCGTACGGCCCGCCAGGCATGGCGGGCAATGATACAACAAATTGGTGTTCTGAGTCCGGGTGTTCATTGTGTTCGTTTAAATGAATGTTTGTAAAGTCCGGCACAGGATATATTTCGAGTGTGGGAATTGTAATTTATAATAAATTAAAAAAAACTTGTATAACTAACACTCACCGGCTGCAAAAGGTTCATGTCCTGAACCTCCACCACCCAGTATTGCCACTCTCCCCGTGTCAGTCTGCAAAGTGCACAGACATATGTTTAAACAGATTTCTCATTTCATATCATCATCATCAACAGCCTTTACTAGTCCACTGCTGGACATAGGCCTCTCCTTAGTCATTTCATATACTTATGTCATAAATATAGAGTACTAATATTGGTTTGAATTTATGTGGACTGTAACCTCAGCTGTAAGACGTCCACTGCTGGACATAACAAGTGTGTTATTGGGGGTTCTGGAACGCCCCTAATAACACACTGGCAATGACCTGCGTGGGAGTTCTGTATCACTCAATCCGATTTGCAATAGAGATTTAATATTATTTTATTCGTCGGCGCAATAATTGTTAGTATTAGCATACTAACAATTATCATGTAACAATATCATTAAGACGATGCACCTGTGAATGAAGTACAATATGCAATCTTTATTGCTAATCGGATAAATTGTAGATCAAATAATACACTACTGACATAGGCCTCCTCCAAAGTTCGCCACAACAACCGGTCCTGTGCTGCCCGCATCGAACGGCTTCCAGCGGCCTTCACCAGGTCGTCTGACCACCTTGTGGGGAGCCTACCTAAGCTGTACTCGAGAACTTTGTGTCCCCATCGCCTATCGTTTCTACCAGCAACGTGTTCCGTCCACTGCCACTTAAGTTTGGCAATTCTCCGGGCGATGTCAGCACCTTGGTTCGTCTGCGGATCTCCTGATTCTTGATTCGATCACGCAGAGAAACTCCGAGCATTGCCCTCTCCATTGCGACCACATATCCATATGTACCATAAGTGCACACGACAAAAAGTACCATAGACAAAAATAAGGGAATGAAGAATTTGGTTTATTACAATTCATCTTGGTGTAGGCTTATCGATGTATCACCTAAAGGAGTTTCAACACTTAATAAAAGGTTTACTGCACAGTAACATTACCTTATTTCTAACAGTGATAACTCTGTGCTTTGGATGGAGCTGCAGCTTCGGGAAGGTGGCTATCACACCTCGCAGGTTGTCATCCACGCATGTCTCCGGGCTGTTGATCACCTTTTTTGTTATAGGTTTGGTTGACGACATCTGAGAATTAAATTAAGTACTAAAAACATAAAACTTAAGCTTGTATGTTTAGTTGAACGCGTTCATCTCAGTAACTACTGCATCCGAATTGAAATATTCTTTTAGTGTTGGATTGTCCATTTATCGAGGTAGGTTAAAGGCTATATACAATCACGCTACGATCAATAGGAGACTAGCACCAAAAAAAAGTGTCACAAAAACGGGTAAAAGTTTATTCTTTCTGAGAAAAACAGACGATGTGGCGAGGGTCAGGTAGTAATAAAGACCTGGTCTAGGTCCTACTGTCACTTTCCTGCAAAAAAGACCACTCTGGCACTAGAAATTCAGTGCCAGAGTGGTCTGGGACTGAATTCCTAGTGCCAGAGGATAGCAGTATCAGTTAAGCGTTACTTGCAATGCCATCTAGCGCTGTAAGTATCAGAATTATTAATCACAATCTCAATAGTTGTACTTTACTCGATACTAGATGGCACTGTCCTCCACATTCCATACAATTCTGGAATAATCGAACCATTTAATCCTCTGGCGCAACAGTATGTTTCCTAAACATGGTGTGCAATAAAGAGTACCCATCTACTTTTCGTTTCATATTAAACTCACAATGTTGCTAAAGTGCCCCTGTTGCCAAGCAAGCATATATTATTGTAACAAGCACGTAGAATAGGTACGTAAGTGGGTCTTAATCTAATGTCGACAGACTGTGTGGTGTGACTGTACGAATGTAATAATTTGTTTAAAAAACAATTCTACATCGAATGATGTTACCAATATCATTTATAACAGTTATGATTTAAAAAATATTGATTAGCATAATTTTGAGTACAAGTCCAGATTTAGTCTTTCTCTTTCTACTAATATTAAGATAATTATAAGTACATCTGCATATTTAACTGCAATAAAGAGAGCATTTTTTCTGTTCAACTCTTTCTACTCGTAGCGGAATATGTAAGTAGGTACTATCCAAAAAAACAGGCTCCATTTTTTTCTAATTAAACTGATCATTCTTGGTATTATAACGTTAATAAATTTATACAAAACACATTTATACAGATAAAAAAAGTGGTAACTACTTATATAGGTACATAGTTACTGGTTAAGTCGACCTAGATACTTTAGGGGGTTCTAGTCGCCATCATTTCTGATAGATTTCACTATGAAATACCATATCCCAAACCTAACCATATGCAAAAATCATTTTTTATAAAAATTACCAAAATTATGCCTAATACAAATTTTATAAAAAAGTCTAAATTTCCAATATCTTGAAAGTGGTTAGGTTAGTTACTACAACCCCCTACAGTATCTAGGTCGACTTATCCAGTAACTATGTATACAAGCAATCTTAAATAACGCTAAACGTAACGTAACACGATAATTGTTTACGTACCTTTAATAAACTTAAAAGAAAATAATTCCAACACGACTTACCGTATACACGAAGATACACACAAAACTGACTAGATTAGATACATGTACAAAAACAATAAAAACCCAAACAAATTACATAATTTCAGATAATAAGGTATATTTAATCAAGAGTTTACGACCCGGTTATCTATTAAAACTGAACAGAATGTAGATATTAAAAATAAATGGTACGAAGCTAACTTCACGTCTGTTAGCATGTCCTTCGCAGGCACTTCACTCATTAGGTCTGTAGACTACTGTTTAGCTAAGCTATAACGCCTTATCTAAAATGGGCGTTGGGTTATCAAACAGTTTAGAGCTATTGTTAACGTGATTATAAAACGTGCGTAAACAATAAACGTAAGTTAGGTTATAATGTGTAACTGGCTGGTAGCTGGTACCCGCGACTTCGTTCGTGTGGAATTTAAATTGAAAACAGTTGTTCGTTTCGCAGAATTCGTAAAAAATAAATGGTGTAGTACGGTACACGACTGCGGTCCATGAGGCTTCGGTTTCGATTCCCGGACCGGGCAAATTTTTGTAGAGGTTTTTCTGAGCGGAAAAATACCCTATGTTACTCCGTATATAGACAGCTAACTGGTAGTAAAATATTAGCAAAATGGGTAAGGTACTAGAGGGTAACGCAATTACCTCTGGTATTGTCTTCAAATGTTGATGGCATTGGAGCAGCTTGCCACGTTAAATGGGGTACTACTGCAATGGATTAAAGGGTACAGGAATTCACACGCGAACGACGCCGCAGATAAGTTGGCAAGGAGGGGCTCGGCAACCTGGCCACCGGCCCAACCATTTTTTTTTTTATGCTGTTTGAGAGAAGAAAACCTTCAAACCTTCTCCTTTTTCGGCAGCAAGATCTCCCTTACAAACCCCAATTGCTGCCCAGTTGTTTGCCGTTTAAAGTATACAAGGGATGACCTCTTCCGGTCTTCATGGCACTCCCTTCTCCCTACGCCAACGCAGCTTTATTTCACCCCAACGTTGGCAGACGAAGAAGGTGTGCTCGGGCCCAACCATATTGCTTTAAAGTTGCTTGAAAGGTAGTGGCAGCAATATGGCCCAACCATATTGCTGGCACTACCTTTCAACCAACTTCGATTCTGGACCAGGCAACGGACTCGTGAAGCACACAACCGGAGATGGAAAAACTCACCTGGCTGCAAACAGTCCAAACTGGAGCTGACTAAAGTCACACCACGCCTCACCTGCAGATTGATCAGTCTTAGCAGACTAGAAATCCGAAAGTTTTAGGAACTAAAACAGGACACCTAGCCCTGAACCAACAACTATTCACCATTAATGCAACGTCCTCTTGAAGAGGATGTCTGAAAGCAAAGGAAACGGCCGCCCACGTAATCCTGAAATACGAGGGAGTGTAATAACAGTAATCATCTGTCAGGCCTCTCCTTAGAAAGGAGGTTTTGGCCTTCTATACCACGCTGGCCAGACGGGTTGGTATAGGGTTTGTTTCAAGTTTTCCTTCTTTTTGCAGTGCTGTTGTCCTGTGCAGTTTGTTCCCTTATTCGGCTCTTGCGACACCCACGGAATGAATAGGGGTGGTGACATTCCGTATTCTTAATCCGTCACCACACGGACACCACACGGTAATAACCGTAATAGCCACCATAAAATAAATCTAACACGAATACAGGAAAACAAATATAGTATTCAAGGAATCTAGTAATTGAAACACAAAAGCAAGACGCTTGTTGCTATTATTAAGAGTTCAATCGACAATTGTTTTTAACAGACGCTACAAACAAATATAAACCTTACATCTGTTTGATTTAAGCAGGTTATCAAACTTAGATATTGAAAAAGGTGAAGATCATTTTGATAAAAGTATTTTTCATCAATGTGGCGAATTCCACATTATAATAATATATACTAATAAATTTTACTACATTTACACAACGCCGTCTAGTCCCAAACTAAGCAGAGCTTGTACTATAGCTACTAGATAACTGATATAAATACATTTATACTTATTTTTGTAAATACATACATATTATACATAGAAACACCCAGACCAAATCAAACATTAAATGTTCATGCACACAAATGTTTGACTTGAGCGAGAATCGAACCCGCGACCTTTGGAATAACAGTCCGTTACACAAACCACTATGCCATCCGGTCATAGAATATATACTACAATATTTTCATTTATAACTTCCCAGCATCAAGCGTTGAGCCCTGGTCCGCCAGGCTTGATCACCTCGCATGGTCAAAGGATGGATCTTTTTTTGTTGGAGGGACATAACACCCGTTCCTCCACAACAGGAGGTCAATTCTTGTAATAAAAGTTCGGTCACAATTCAGTTCAGATCAACTTTTGATCTCACAACTCTCATAAAAGGTATTTTCATAGTAAAAATGTAAATTATTAGTAAGACTAGCAATTTTCTGTTACAACACGATATAATCACATTACAGTCAACTTTAGGTGTTTAATACTTTACTACGACAATGTACTAATTCTGTTGTTCGAAAACTCTCTAAACTAAACTAAAAATCACTAAAAATTTGTTTAGTCCTGTCAAATAACGTTTCGTATTCTGAAAACGTAATACTTGACAGGAGTAAACTAATTTTTAGTGATTTTTAGTTTAGTTTAGAGAGTTTCGAACAACAGAATTAGTACCATTGCCTTTTATGATAGTTGTGAGATCTAAGGTTGATCGGAACTGAATTGAGACCAATCTTTTATTACGAGAATTTTGAGCGCTTGCATGCACTGCCGATGAGCCGCCCTTGTTTCCGTACCGAAATCGGTCTTTGGATGCCCACCGGACAATCGGTGGGGTGGTTATGAATTTTATTTCTGATCAAGTTCTTTTTGTCCTTATTTTAAAGAATTTAAAATCATATTACTTTACTTACTCCCCATAAGTTCTTGAACGTAAAGGGGAATCCCGCGCTCGCACCTTGTGTGCTTTAAATTATACATCCTTACGTTTATTATAGTTATTCGAAGCTTATAAACGTTTGCATTTATTACCGTACACCGATCAATAGATGTTACTAATATGAGTTATCACATAATAAAAATAAATGAGACTTGCAAATAATGAGAATGTTTCGTTTCGATTTCTGTTTTTGCCGGCCCTTGGAAAATACCGCCCGTGTGCGGTGCACGCTCTGCATACTCCTACCCGGCGCCCCTGGTGCTATGGTAACCAGACTGACTAACAAACTATTTTTTTTCCAAATAGACACATTACAGATAAATTACATCCAGACACAACAAGTGATAAACCAAATAAAACTCGTAAACAATAAATATAATAATTATTAATCGCTGCCAGCGACGTCATCTACAATTATAAAGGTATCGCTTTCTCCGGTAAAAGGCTGAATGTCGCCGGTTGCTGTCCTCGCTGCACCAAAGTATCTTATTCTGTGAGGTACACCTAAGACAGAATCCTCTGGAATGGTCCACACAATACGTACTCGGCTGGAATTTTGCGGGATCCTCTGCCATATGAATCTTATGGAAATAAAAAGGAAATCAATACTACAAAAAATATAGTTATCATGTTAAAAATGTTTTAATTTCTATGATATGACACTAGCTTTCTCCTGCGGCTCCACCCACGTAATGGTCTTTTGGTATTTCACTCGGCTACAGTACTTTTTTCTGGGTAGACGTACCTTATAAAATCCGTGTGGTGACGGATTAAGAATACCGAGTGTCACCACCCCTGTTCATCCCGTGGGTATCGAAACAGTCGACTAAGGGAGCAAACTACGCAGGACAACAGCACTGCAAAGAGAAGGAAAACATGACACAAACCCTATACCAAACTCATCTAGCCAGCGTGGTATGGTACGCCAAAGCCTCCTTTCTAAAGAGCGGCCTATGTTCACCAGTGGACTAACAGTCGACAGTTAAAGGCTGTTCATGATGATTAAAGGTACCCTATTCTGTACCTTATATGTTTGCAACTTGTACTTCAATGGTGGGGTCGTTAAAACTAGTGATAAGCTCAATTTGACCCCTTACCCATATACGACATACTCACTTAGTATTGAAGTCAGCGTCGTTGGTGACTTCGACCCAATCAGTTCCATTGAGACGCTCGATCACAAAATGACTTGATTCTTGTTTCAAATCATTGCGAGGATTTGCCGCCACCTGTTAAAAATACCATTATTAACAAGTATTTGTTTCATTTCAATGTTAAAAAATAATCATAAGACCCTAAATCGGTAGTTATTCACCATCAATGCGAAAAATAGCCTTCCCTAATAATAATCAAGGGTCTGATGCAGAAGGCAGTCCTCCTTGACACGGCTCGTATAGTGAGGAGGTTCCTATCTTTGGAGTCCTAACCACTGGTGTCCTGGTCCCTGTGCCCGATATCGGTGGTCTACTATTTTTTATATTTTTAAATGTATTTTTATTTCTTTTGTAATATATTTTAAAATGTAATTAATCTATATATATAAAAGAAAGTCGTGTTAGTTACACTATTTATAACTCAACAACGGCTTTACCGATATGGCTGAAAATTGGTGAGGAGGTAGCTTAGAGCCAGGAGACGGACATAGGATACTATTTATTCGTTTTTTTTTTGTTTTTTTTTTTTTTGTATCGGCGTCGATCACCAGATGACAACGGTGGAACTGTCATAACAAAAGTGAAAAGAATGGATTTCGTTGTCGACAACAGTTGGATTGTTCCATATTCGCCACTTATTTCTAAAACGTTAAAGACACATTGCAACGTTGAGGATTGGTCGGAAGATCATCTGCGTTGTTTGTTTTTGCGCCTGATAAGAAAACAAAAAATGTCGTGTATCACAAGGTACTTAAGTGAAGAGTACAATAATAAATGATTAATGTATTTCATTTTTTTTTCTAAGAAATAAATTAACTTACCAAATTCGAAAATCGGCTTATTTATTGACTTTAAGGCGGAACAGAGTTCGCCGGGTTAGCTAGTATGTATATATAATTTAATGAAGAGAATAAAACAATAAACTTCATACATCTCACATACGGCTGTCTGATCCCAAACGAGTAGAAACCTATATTATGGTAACCAGATTCCTGATAAATTTACTTAAATATATCTAAATACATCCATATCTATACTAATATTATAAAGCTGAAGAGTTTGTTTGTTTGTTTGTTTGAACGCGCTAATCTCAGGAACTACTGGTCCGATTTGAAAAATTCTTTCAGTGTTAGATAGCCCATTTATCGAGGAAGGCTATAGACTATATATCTTCACGCTAAGACCAATAGGAACGGAGCACCATTGAAGAATGTTTCAAAAACGGAGAAAATTTATTACTATTGAGAGACGCAGACGAAGTTGCGCGGGTCAGCTAGTTATAGATAAACGACAAACACTAGATTTCCTATTTTCTCCTGGGTGGGAATTAAATCTATGACCTCCGGCTTTTCAGTCTATTTACGGGATGTCTCAATGTGGAGAAAATATGATAGAAGCCTGGTATAGTTATACTTATCAGTATCAACTCATACAGAATCAATACCAAAAAAATAGAGCCCACCTCTTGATACACCCCCTCCAGAATCAGGGGGGTGAGGGGTTACGGCTCCGGTAACGTCACACGAGTCACGAAGAACTTCTTAACATCAGTTTTCTGTGAGGCCATGGTATCACTCCGGTCGAGCCTGGCCAATATGTGCCGAAACATGGCTTTCTCAAGATCTTACATAAGTGAAACACCAGAACAATATATCACCACATACCACCTCATCATCATTACGGGCCTGTTGCTCCAGTGGTTAGTGACCCTGACTGCTAAGCTGGAGGTCGTGGGTTCGATTCCCACCCAGAAGGAATACTGTGTGATGAGCGCGGTCATTTGTTCTGTGTCTGGGTGTAATTTATCTAAAATATATTTGTATTTAAAAATATGTAAGTATGTTTATCAGCAGTCTGGTTACCATTGTACAGGCTCTGTTTAGTTTGGGATTGGATTGCTGGGTTTGAGATGTGTGAAGTTATTATTATTATACCCAATATATTACTCCCACCACCAATACGCTATAGGAACATCAAATTGTACTAACAAAAGTAGCATCAATAGTCGCCCCCCTTGGTGCTTCGGCTATCGGCTGATAGAGCGTCTCACCAAACGTGCTGTTTTCTTCGTGATTGTCCACTTCCACTGGTGGAATAAAAGTCTCTAATCTATTTCGGTAATCCTCTGGTGCTGGAGTATCCTCTACTTCTCCATCCTGAAAGCAAAACGTGTTGAATCGGTAACCTTCATCACTAGTTTATCCTTAAAAAATTGGGACGTACTATACAGCACTTGCTATGAGTTCTAAAACTTGAGTCTGTCTATTCAGATAGATTTTAGATCCAATTCGATTCTAATATACATACAAATATTAGAACGGTACGATAAAAATGAAAAATACGCGGCTTGAAGGGTGTTACGTGGTTAGGTCGGTTGGCCTCGTGCGTCAACACGTGGTGGATCCAGTAAGAAAATGATGAAGAGACTACAGAGATATACAGTCAAGACACTTTCACCGTTTATAATTGAACTATTATTACAATTTTGGAGATAGATGGAGACAGAGTTAAACTCAAAGCGGAGTCCTAGAGGCTGTGATCAGGGTGGCGGCTGTGGTCGGTGGAAAACACTTATTTTTTGTTGTACAAGCTTGAGCGATGAGTGTCTGTTATATATATATATATATATGTTCCTATTTTATCCAGCTTCCTAACCTTTAACATACTTCGTTCGAGTCCTCTCTGACAGACGCTTATCTTTTTTCTTGCTTCAGCAGTGAATTTCCACGTTTGGCAACCATATGTCAAACATGGCAAGAGGCTCGAGTTCATGACTTTTGTTTTAATGGCTTGTGGTAAATTACTTTTAAAAATGTCCTTGAGACCCCAGTATTTGGATAAAATACGACACACTAAAATAAGAAAAATAACTAAAGCAACAAACGCTCTGAGTTACGCACAGAAATTAAAATGGAAGTGGGCAGGACATGTTGCGCGGATAACAGATCATAGATGGACCAAAAAAGTAACATTTTGGAACGGCCCACTAGGCAAAAGAATAAGAGGTAGACCTATTACAAGATGGGAGGATGATATTAAAGCAATAGCTGGTCCAAACTGGAGAAAAGTAGCTGAAGACAGAGCCAAATGGGCATCACTGGAGGAGGCCTTCACCCATTCTGGGGTTCCGGTAGACTAAATAAAAATTTTGTAAATATAAATACTATGATATAATAGTTAAGACATAAAATCCACTTAAAATTATATTAAATAAGACAAAAATAAATAACATAGAATAAACTAAATAAAACTAACACATACATAGATTTTAAAGAAATGTAAAATTTACTGGAAATAAAAAGGCTTTTTTATTTTTTATTTTATTTTATTTATATATGTTCCTGTGCAGGGTGAACCGGTGAGGGGGTGGTAGTCTAGATGGGAGAGTGGACGGTGACCTCACGGTCACGTGTCAAGGTGTTAAGTATACAACTTCTAACAATCTTCAGTCTTCTAAACTTATCTCTCTAATGAATCCAACTCGAATATTTATATCCTTGTACGTACCTTAACAGCAATCTCAGCAAACTCGTGAAATTTGTTGAGGAAGATGTCAAGAGTATGAGGTCCGTAGATTGTGGAAGCTGCTTCGTACCTTTGGATCTGAAAGAAGGAAAAAATGTATTATAATTAATATTATTTTGACAGAGAAGAGAGGAAGAACTTGTCTCCTGGGCACCTGCAGCTCAAGAGTTCCATGGAATGGGCGATCCAAAAGATATAAACATAAATGAGTCTTATTATTTCTTTGTTGGATCCTCAGCCGTTATGATTTCGACTCCTGCGGCTCATATTTGCCGACGCATGACTCTTCCAGCCCATGGTAAAGTAGATTACAATTTAGAATTCGAAACGGCGTGAGGGGTCTATGGAGCCCCGGTCGGAACGAAATTCCTTTCGCTCTTTTCTAGACGTTTGCTATACAGTCTGCTTTAAACTTAAAGTGTCGGCAAAAAGTCTTGTTCCACATTTTTCGGTCTCGCTCCCACCCGCTCAGAGCATGTAACCCGCGATAAGGAACTTCGTTTAAAAAATTAGACAAACTTGTGCTTTTATTTTTACAGTTCGTGGAATATCAACAATTCTTATATCGGCAATCTTATAAGAATACAGTGTCACCACCCCTATTCATCCCGTGGGTGTCGTAAGAGACGACTAAGGGAGAAAACTACGCAGAACAACAGCACTGCAGAGAGAAGGAAAACTTGACACAAACCCTATACCAACCCGTCTGGCCAGCGTGGTATAGTAGGCCAAAACCTTCTTTCTAAGGAGAGGCTAATGTCCAGCAGTGGACTATTAAAGGCTGTTGATGATGATGATATATCGGCAAGTTCCAAAATACAAATAAATTCTAGAAAAAATTGAAATAATTTTGGCAGGCTAACCCGATTTGTACGGAATCGGCTGTAATCGCTTTACAGCATCCTATCGTCGTCCGTCATTACCATTTCATTATCAGAAAACTATAAACCTTACCTGATATTCCTCAAATGTGGCTACATAATGGATGTATTCATTAGTCAGCCCAGTAACCACAATTTTAGGGGCTAATCCGTTTTCCTCCATCACCTGGCCTACTACATCCATCATGCGACGACCAGCCATGGTGGTAGGTTCTCCAGGCACTCCGAGAATGGCCAGATCGCCCAGCCAGATGAGAGACACCGACGTTACATTGGGATGCCACGGTAGAGGTTCGTTAGCCTGAAATTAAAATAGGGATTTTGATACTTTACACAAATTAACATGCTAACTTATTGATTAGCTGTAATGCTTTAAAGCCTATTTTTGTTTGTAATTGTAAAATTACTCGTAGACTAGATGTATTAAAAATTGATTGAAAAAGCTATTAAAGTTATTATTATTATTACTAGAGTCAATAACAGGTATGGAGTCAATCGTGTATGTCCTACAGACGGCCGAATTTTACAAAGATTACGAGACAACCAAAGTACCTACTTTTTCAAAGAGTGACACGTACTGCCAGGTCCGAAGCTAGTCCAGCATTTCCGAAATAAACCCATGAATAAAAGCAAGTAAAGAGATTAGTAGGTAATAAGAATGTAAAGTTCGCCGGCTCGTCGCGGCGGCGGCGTCGCTTTGATGTTCGCCGACATTGCGGCGCTTTCGTCTACAGTTCAGCGACTCATGTTAACAATGGTGTTCTAATTCGGCAATTATTTTATTGCATTTATTTTTTTCTAAATTTGCATTTCTGTAACTTCGTACTATTTTTTTTTTATATTTTAAACTACGTATTTTTAACCGTGTTATCTGTTATTTCATTTCTTGTAATAAGTATTGTACCTCTCTGAATATAATAATGATGACGTCATTTATGTTAGCGTTACATTCCTATATTGATGTCGCCATTTTTTGCACTATTCACGCATATTTTCCAAACAAATACTTAAATATTCCAATGTCTGATACGGCACAATTTTCATGTTTGTTGATAATGTCACATTTCTATTAATTATTACTATTGTCCTGATGTTTATAATGTTTACTTTAGATCAATAACATTGAAGAAATACTTTTGGTGGTGACGGATTAAGACTACAGAATGTCACCACTATTCTTACCGTAGGTGTCGTAAGAGCCGACAAAGGGAGCAAACTAAGCAGGACAACAGCACTGCAAAGAGAAGGAAAACTTGACACAAACCCTGTACCAAACCGTCTGGTCAGCGATGTATAGTAGGCCAAAACCTCCTTTCTAAGGAGAGGTCTATGTCCAGCAGTGGACTATCAAAGGCTGTTGATGATGATGATGATGATGATAAAATAACTGACCCGTCCAGTAGCCAACAGGATAGGCTTGGGAGCGTGACATTGGCGATCCCACTCGGTCGGATTTGAGATAATATTTATTACACCCAACACAGGATTACCCTCGATGGGATGGAGCGTGCCCTGTATGAATAAAAAAAAATCACTGTTAATCTTTACCTAAATTTTGTAAACGATAAAATACAAAAGGACCAACTTGTTAAGACAGCTTTTGACCCGCAACTTTCTCATGGAAGTCAGTTGACAGCAGTGACAGTTGATTGACCTAACGGCCAATTTTTTTTATGTTATAGGGGCAAAAGAGCAGACGAGGCACTTGATAGTAAGTGCCTACCACCTTTTTATACATGCATGCAGTAGCAGAGACACAAGTGCCTGAGTTCATCCCCCCTTCTGGAGGTGGAGAACTCGTAAACTCTATAACTTTCTCGGTATTAGTGATGGATTCTAACTAATGTTGTTCTTGTACCTGTGTTACATTAAGAGTATTAGCGCCATCTTGAGTTCCGGCAACAAAACTGTACCCCAACGCAGGTGCACAGCCTGTTACTGTCTCATTCTGAAAAAACATCGTTTATTATGATTTTTTATTAACATTTGACACAATGTGAGGTTCACAGGAAGCTATATGCTGCTAATTGTAGGCAGCCTTAAGGTCATGGATCATGTCTAAATATTCTGTGTATTGAAATGTAATCGTAACAATGGCAATCCATTCAACAACATTCTTTGAGATTTTATTCACAGTTCTGCCTCTTCCTTTGTGGAATGCAATGTCAAAACCTATATAGGACTGTTTATTTGCCATTTTAAATAAATCAGTAAAGCAAATGACACGTTATTGGGCACTAATAGTCATCAAATCAGATGCTACTTACACTTTCAAAAGTTCTCGTCACTGGATTGTACCTGGGGACCTCTTGCACTGTCATGTCGACAAACTGGTGGACAACCTTTAGCTTCCCTCTCAACTCTTCACCAGGAGAGTTCAGTATTTCCTGGCGAACAGAATTTATAATTTTACATTGATAACCGCTTTATAAATATGTTTCTATTTATATTTATTATTATTATTATAAAGTGTGTGTGAGACCTTGGATCGTATGCCTATCTCCTCATTCCTGATTCGATCTCGCAGAGAAACTTCGACCATTGCCCTCTCCATTGCTCTTTGGATGACTTTGAGCCTCCTTATAAGGCAAATTGTGAAAGATTATTGGCACAGAGACGTGGTCGCTCACAATAGCAATATCATTTAATAATAATAATACCTCACACATCCCACACACGGCCGTCTGATCCCAAACTAGGCAGAGCCTGTACTATGGTAACCAGACTGCTGTTAAACATACTTATATATATTTAAATACATACATATTATAGATAAATTACACCAAGACACAGAACAAATGACCGTGTAATACACACAATATTTGTCCTGGGTGGAAATCAAACTCACGACCTCCTGCTTAGCAGACCAAACGGGCCCGTCTTTAATTCATTTACCATTAGTATTTCGGCTTTAGGAGTTTAAGTTGTAGGTTTTTTATGTATTTCTTACTTATCATGGGCATTTTTCCCCATCACTTGGATATTTGTCACTTCGCCACTTACGCTATATTGTTTGTAGTAGTGTTTCTTAAAAAAGGCCAACTCAAAGTCTGGGTTTGTATGAACGCTAGTGAACACCTTCATCATATGACTCGTCTTCTCTTTTCCTTTACCTTAAAGAGGGAGTGACAACGAATCGGGTATCTCTAACTTATTGTGGTCAAGTTAATCAGTTAATTTCTAATCCAGTTCTAATACTCACCAAAGCCCCTTCAAATATTTTAGTGCCTATTATTTTAACACTTTCGAACATATCAGATCCAGGACCTCGTGCGAAACATCTCTCCCCTGCACCGCAGACTATGAACTGGTTATCGCACTGAATTTCGGAGAACTCGCAACGAGCACCATATGTGTTAGGAGAGGCATCACCGAGGTTTGAGGCGAAAAAACCAGCCACAATTTTACCCTGAGACAGAAAGTTCAGCCTATGTTTAAAATTCAATCATTGCCAATCAACTGGAAACCAATAACCAATTGTCTGGATAGACAACATGAAGGATCTCTATCCGTCATGTTGCCTATCCAGCCTAAGCGGTCAAAATGATAAAAGGGAGGATAATTAACTAATCTCCTCACTTAGCTAGCTTACATTCTATTACATGTTTACTACGTTAGAAAATTCACACAATCATGTATGTCTTACAAACCTTTAAACTGCCAAACTATTCAACCAAGCTAGCCATGGTCAGATTCTGACCACTTAGTTCAACTGATATTATCCACAAACATGAAGTCAAATGCAAATAGCTGTGTAGATAACCATTTCCAATATATTTTCAAAATTCACGAACTCAATATTCGTGGCAACTATAGAAAGATTTATCACCTTGCCAGGGAAAGCACCTGGATTTAACTCCTGCTCCATCCTAAGCGCAGAGTATCCAAGATTATCAGACGAGATGAGCGTGTTGGACATGTTCATGCTAGTGGTGTGGACGGAGAACCAGTTCAGTACACCGTGAAGCGAGCCGTTGAGGTTCTCGATCCGCACTTGAGTCAAGGTATTGTCTGTATCGCTATCATATCTGGTGAAGTAAAACTTGGGTTATTTAAAGTATTTAGTTTCATTACAATAATAATTTCATGTTAATTTTTAAAACTGCTGCACTACACGGATTGCATACCTAGTGGTTTAAGCGGTCATCTGACCGCTTTCCACTTTGTGTTGAGGGCTCGATCCCCACATGGGATAACACTTTGCGTGATCGACAAATTGTTGTTCTGAGTCTGAAAGTTCTTTGTATCCAGTTTATAAATGTTTCTGAAGTCCCACGCGACACAGGTATAGGGGGTCAAGGAGCAGATATATAGTTTTCTGTAAAGCCATATGGTTGATACCATACTCCGGACGAGTTGACCCATCTTTGTCGAAGTATGTCTCTCTCACGGTTATTTTAACTTTGATGTGTTTTCTGTCTTACCGATTTCTTTCAGCTGGAGGATTCGACATGTATGAAAATGGTGATCTATTTATAGACGCGTCAGTAATGTTTGTCCGTCCGTAGAATAGACGTGCTGGTACTATGTTTTCATGAGCTCGTTCTATACTCTGAAACAATCGTACAAAGATGAATTGAGCAAATGTTTTACAGATCTCTTTCAGCTAAGCCCCGAAATTTCCTATCACTCACAATGCCTTCGCAGTTGGTCTGGTGGCTAATGACCGTGACTGCTTAGCAAGAGATCATGGAGCTCACCCATCCAGAAAAAATAATTGTGTGATGAGCACGATCACTTTTCTATGTGGGTGTAATTTATTTATAACTAGCTGAGACCCGCGGTGTTACCCGCGTTTGTTGATATAACCGCGGGCAACGCCGCGGGGCGAACTAATCTAAAAAAAGTAGCCTAAGTTACTCCTTATGTCATCAGCTATCTGCCAGTGAAAGTCCCGTCGAAATCGGTCCAGCCGTTCCAGAGATTACCCGGAACAAACAGACGGACAGACAGACAGACAAACAAAAATTGTAAAAAAAAAATATTTTGGCATATGTACCGTGTAAACATACATATGCATTTAGTAAAAAGCGGTTATTTTAATATTACAAACAGACACTCCAATTTTATTTATTTGTATAGAAGATATGTATGTGTGTTTTTAGAAGCATAGGTATATGATTGTTTTCAGTAGTCTGCTCAGATCGGATCAAACGGTCGTCTATCAATTGTCAGCTTTTCCGTTCACTTACTGCACACAAGTCCGTGTGGTGACGGATTAAGAATACATATTGTCACCACCCCAATTCATCCCATGGGTGTCGTAAGAGCCGACTAAGGGAGCAAACTAAGCAGGACAACAGCACTGCAAAGAGAAGGAAAACTTTAAACAAACCCTATACCAACCCGTTTGGCCAGCGTAGTATAGTAGGCCGAAACCTCCTTTCTAAGGAGAGGCCTTTGTCCAGCAGTGGACTAGTATAGGCTGTTGATGACTGCACACAATATTGGAGTAACTAAGTCATCATCCACCGACATTATTTCCAAACCAGGTTGGGGTTCGCTTTCCGTTTATTACGTCATGGATGAACTTGGATTTTTTTACGTGAAACGACTGCAATCAGACCTCCACAACCCAAGTACTAGGCGATATTTTTAAGTTTCGTAGAAAGACTGTTTTCGAACTTTACCACCAACTATTCGTAGTGAAGGAGTAGCAATGTAATTACGGGTAAAGATAGATAGATATAGATAGATAGATATATAGCTACTCTTTATTGCACACCATGGATAAAAAACATACAATGCAATATAAAGCGATAATAATAATATAATTACTAATATAATAATAATATAATTGAAGCGGCGGTAGCCTAGTGGTTAAGGCGTTGGACTTGCGATCAAGAGGTCGTGGGTTCAATTCCTGACCAGTACACTACCGACGTGAACCCACTCCTAACACAAGTAATTTAGCTTAGCGGGAGGGGTTAACGGGAATATTAATTTCGATTGCTAGTAGAACTTGTATAAAAAAAAAAAGACATAAAATTTAAAAAAAAAACACAGTGGTACAATGGGCGGCCTTATCGCAGTCTGCGGTCTCTTACAGGCAACCTTTAGATGGACTATACTGTATAGTGATATGTAGTCTGTGGTGCGCATAATATATAAATATAAAAACACAAATACAAATTCAGATATAGATAATTAAGGGGTAAGGGAAAATTTGAAAGCTTCTTCTACTATTGCATATACTATCTTACCCTAGTAATTCCGTCCACGTACGCATTGAAAGTCTCCTCTGAGAATCCAAGAATGCTTATGTCTAATAGGATGTAGACAAGATGTCCTCCCGGAGCGCTGTGGGTGTGAGTACCAGCTATGATGACGTTATCAAGCCTGTACATGGTCCCGTATTTTTCTTGTAGTCTTCTCACTACCTAGAAAAACAAACTAACTTCAATAAAATAGATCGTGAAAAAATAAACTACAATATATCTTAAGTGTCATTTACGAAAATATTCCTGGAAATAGGTGTAATGCGTTAGTGAAACCGTGATAAAAGGTTTTTTTTATGGCATAGGAGAGCAAAACGATCAGACGGGTCACTCGATGAACTCTTGCTACTCAAGAATAGCAAGTGCGATGCCGTCCTATCAGTACTCTCCCCTAGTACTAGGGGAGAGGAGTCTTTCTTTCCAGGGTTGGTTAACGTTTTGGGCTCCATTACCGTAACTGATGAAATACAAATACGCGAGCGATTTGTATTTTTAAAAGACAACTCCTGCATTAAAAATGTATCCTGTGTCGCGGGGGCTTTACAAACATACATGAAACGAACACACACACAAAGTGTCGTCCCATGTGGGGATTGGACCCACAACACTCAGCGTAGTAGTAAGTTTAACAACAAACAAATGTCACCTATCTTACCTCACGTCTAACGGCTATGCCCACGGCCTGGACTTCTGCAGACACGTAGACCACCCTTTTGTCTCCTTCTACGAAGATAAAAGACCTCGCAAACTGTCGCAAGTGAATTCCTGTGCCGCTTTGTGTAAATTCAGCATAACCCATCTGGAAATTAAAAGATCAGAATATGTAAGTATCAAGGGAATGCCAATATGCTTGACATTGCCATGGCAATGGAAGAAAACTGATATTGTTCATACGCATGGATATTAGGGAGCTGATGCAATAGCTTTAGCAGACCTGTTACTTGAATTAGCTGTTGTCGGGAAATCCGCGGGGATTTTACATTCCTTGGCCATTAACATTTCCTTCTGATCGATATACATATATATACGAGTATACTCGTACTACAGCCAGACACAGATCAAATGATCGTGCGTGCTCATCACCCGAATATTTGTCCAGGGTGGGGATCGAACCCACGACCTCTGGCTTAGCAGCCAAGACCACTAACCACTAGAACAAGAGGCCTATCAAATTATTACTCTATTTAAAATAATACTCAGGTATACTTACAAAGTTAATTTCAGTAGGAGGTCCAGTCATATCAGCAATCCCAACTCCCACCTTGTAGATTGGCTCTGTTTCTTCAACAGCACAGCAGTCTTCTTCAACGCTATCGCTGTTCACAGTCAGCACTATGACTGTGGTCATGCCGGCTATCACGCCAAGGATCAACACAACTATAACTATTTTACCTAGAATGGGTACCGCCATTGTATCTGAAATATATTGTTTTTTACACTTAATAATAATAATAATAATAATCATCATCATCAACAGCCTACAACAGTCCACTGCTGGATATAGGCCTCTCCTTATTAAGGAGGTTTTGGCCTACTATACCACGCTGGCAAGACGGGTTGGTATAGGGTTTGTTTCAATTTTTCCTTCTCTTTGCAGTGCTGTTGTCCTGCGTAGTTTGGTCCCTTAGTCGGCTCTTACGAGACCCGCGGGATGAATAAGGGTAGTAATCGTATTCTTAATCCGTCACTTCACAGTAATTTCCCACATCTCACACACGGCCGTCTGATCCCAAACTAGGCAGAGCCCGTGCTATGTTAACCAGACTACCAATAATCATACTTAAATATTTCTAAATACAAACATATTATTATAGATAAATTACACCCAGACACAGAACAAATGATCGTGCTCATCACACAATTATTTGTTCTTGGTGGGGATCGAACCCACGACCTCTGACAAGCACGAGCTTCAAAAAGAAGCTCGAATATGTTTAATATCTACCTAATGTATGTACTGTTAGTTATTAAGTACCCAATTAGGATGAAATTCTGTTTTCTAATAAGTAGAATTGATTCACAAAATATACGTTAAGATTAACGAAGTTTCGTGGAAACGCTAGTTTCCTAATCCTAGTATTTATTTTTATTTAATTTCCTAATATTTATTTAATAAATCAAATTCATGATCAAAGATCCATGATCTTTTGTAAAAAGTGTACACCTTTTTATGTATTTTATATCACTTAAGGGTCTGATGCTTCTTGCTAATTAAAAAGTTTGAATTTCACTTTGTTTAATCCATGCATGCATTCAAACTGAACATAAATTAGTTATTCGGGCATGTGGGGGATTAATCTACTGTGTCATAAACTCAAAAGAAACCTGAAAAGACGAAGAACATAGGAAAGGCGTGGAGCGAAATCCAGCGCGAAGCTCAAGAACGATCAAGAAGGAGAAAGGAGGACTGTGTACGCCCTCAATCAGTATAGAAAACTTGCTACTTGTAAGTTACATTGTATTTACACAAAGTCGAGTTTTGAAGCAGAACTTTCGCATTTAATATTAGATTTTTACTGTTTACGACACCCATATCGTTGAGGCTGTATTACCACAGCAATGCACTAGGTGTTAACTCAAACTTAACTCATACTCAAAATATCTCTATTCCATAAAAAAATGATTGAAATCGTCTTTTATGTAGTCTCTAAGACATAGCTTAACACACACAATAGCAACAATCTCTGTTTTGTCAAATGTTTAGCAATAGTTTAGCAATTATGCCTAACCCAAATCTATGATATGCCTGTGCCGATCTACAACCGACCGTTTCCAAGGCATTGACCCTTATAAGAAGAAAGGGCAAACAAACTCACTCACTCACTCACTCACACTTTTTAATACATACATTAATACATACATACATAACATTAAGTATACCTACCACAACATTGTTTTGATATACGCCAATGTGTCCGTTATTAAATTCAAAAACATAAAAAGGCAATAAAGAGAAAACAAGATAAATAAAAAATATGAAATAGAAATGAAAGTTAGATAAAACATGAAAAAATGGGAAAAAAATAATAAAAAGCTCACTAGCCCACAATACATTTCCACTTAAGAAATAGCCTGTGCTAAATTAATCCAAAGCGTTCTTGTCTTCAATGTAATCCACAATTGAGTAATAGGCTTACTGATATAATTTACGTTTTACTGCGGGCTTAAATTGTTTTTTACTTCAGTCTTGTATGTTATCTGGAATTTTATTATAAAATCGGACACATTCAAATCGAAATGACTTTTTTACCTTTTGGAGCTTGTATTTTATTTAAACGATGCACGTAGCAAGAATATATAGAAATTTAATGCTTTGAAAATGAGTTTAATTTCCAGAATCTGTCATTTCCAAGGTTTACATACACACTCTTGTAGCTCTGAATATCTAGTCCGATGCGTATTAAATACCTAACTACATTTTGACAAATCTTATATGTATTGAGAGACTATTTCTCTATTTTAAAAAATACAACTCCCGCTTTAGGAATACATTCCTGTGTCGCGGGGGACTTTAGAAACATACATGAAACGGACACAAAGAACATCCAGACTCAGAACAACAATTTGTGGATCACACAAAGTGTCGTCCCATGTGGGGATCGGACCCACAACACTCAGCGCAATAGGAAGCGGCTAATTGACCGCTTAAACCACTACGCCATCCGTGCAGTCTATTTATTTAACTGTTTATTTATTTATTTATTTGTCTATTGGCACAGTTAGGAGAATATGGAAATGTGACAAATAAGTGACATTTATTAAACACAACGGGATACGATCGCTATCATTTATCAGGTATTAAAACAGTGCTTGGAAACGTAAGACAGACACACAAGCTTTTTTGGCTTTAGAGAGACAAGTCTTAGTCAAAGAAGACGGTTTACATGCTCTTAGCGAGTAGTTACGGCTTTAGATTGGTAACACTTGATGACAAATTCAGGAGGAGTTTAAGGGAAAAGTAAAAGATGATAATCCTAACTAACCGAATGATAATAAGTTTGACAACAGTTCATTAAACCTACCAAAATATTTTGAATTTGTCAATAAAAAAAAAACTAAAATACTTACATGGCTGATATCAAACAATATTAACAAAAATAAATTATAAACCAGCCTCAAGAACACACCACACGGCGCTTCAACTTTTTAAATTAATCAATTAAATGAAATATTTATTAAAGAATCGATCAAAGTAATCCGATAAAGGAATAGATTATATTATTATCGTATCAAATAGTGATTATTGAGCAACACAAATTATTGCATTAAAGTCTAATGAGGATATATCAAAAGCGACCTGAAACCGGAGAAGTTCTTTTCCTGCTTTTCACCGAAAGAGTGAACTTGCTGGAGGCCTGACTCCAAAATTCTGAGAGACGGACACTCAAACAACGGCAGCACTCTTGCAATTCTAGAGTCACCTACCATCAATTGACCCGTCTGCTCTTTTGCCCGCTATCATCAATAGCCTTTAATAGCCCACAGCTGGACATAGGTCTCTCCTTAAAAATGATGTTTTGGCCTACTATACCACACTGGCCGGACGGCTTGTTATAGGGTTTGTGTCAAGTTTTCCTGCTCGTTGCGCGCTCTTGTCCTGCGTAGTTTGCTCTCTTAGTCGGCTCTTACAACACCCACGGGAAGAATAGGGGTGGTGACCCATATTCATAATCCGTCACCACACGGACTATATATATATTCCCCTGTATATTTAAAAAAACTATGAAAATCCTAATCATTAAAATCGCGGTTTATATTTACACGTAACGGGTTTCGTGATTTTTTCAATAATTTGCGTGATCTCAATAGGAAATAGTGTAACGGGACTAAAACTGTAGTAGCCACTAAGAGGCCGGAATTCCGTAGGTATCTGTCTGCCCTGTAATTGAATCTGTGCCAGGGTATAAGTTATCTATAACATGTATGCATTTAAAATTACATATGTGTGTGTACAGTACTGTACTGTCAGTACAGGCTCTGCCTAGTTTGGAATCAGACGTCCTTGTGTGAGATATGCGAGGTTATTTTCATCATTATTATTTCAAATAGCCAAGAATTTATGGTAATTTTTTTTTTACAAATGAACCAAGAACCATCCTTGAGTTTGAGACAATTTTCGATCTCAAAATACAGCATGGATTAAAACGATTTAATTAATATTTATAACATGTACTTAATCGGTTAAAAGATATTAAAATAGATGATAAGACCTCCTAGTACATTATGTTAACTCTGTGACACACACTATGTACTGAAAATATAAATATCTATACAAATAAATAAAATTGGAGTGTCAGTTTGTAATATTAAAATAACAGCTTTTTACTAAATGCATATATGTATGTTTACACGGTACATATGCCAGAATAACATTTTTTTAAATTTTGTCTGTCTGTCTGTTTGTTCCGGGTAATCTCTGGAACGGCTGGACCGATTTCGACGGGACTTTCACTGGCAGATAGCTGATGATAAGGAGTAACTTTGGCTACTTTTTTTAGACTAGCTTCGGCCCGCGGCGTCGCCCGCGGTTCTCAGCTAGTCTACAATAATATTGTAAAGAGGAAAAATCTGTTTGTATTTTAGTACTGAATAAACTCAAAATCCACTCAATCGATATAAAAAAAAATACGATTTACGAAACAACACTATGACCAACTGCTGTATGCTAGGTACCATTTTTAAAAAGTTAGGAATCCGTATTAAAATAGCAGTGATGTAATCCGATGTATCAAAAATTTGCATAATAAGGACATTATATCAGAAACGTTACAAAACTCTTGATGGCTTTTGCAAGCTTTCGCTCGTGTTCATATTGACTGCCTCGATTATGAAGTGGTAGCGTATGTGACTGCTGTGCTGAGGTCTGTATTTCGATTCCCGTGTCGGACCAAATGTTTGTATGATCTGCAAATATTTATTTCGGAGTTTGGGTGTTTCCTATGTATCATATATATGTATTTACGAAAAACTTATATAAGTATTCTATCAGTCAATCTAGTTTTTATAGTACAAGCTCTGCTTAGTTTGAAACTAGATGGCGTTGTGTGTCAGATGTCCGAAATATTATTATTTTTTTATCAATCAACTTCGCCTGGACAAAAAGTGCCATTCCAGACTATAATCTGTCTGTGCCAAATTTCATCCACATCCGTTTAATTACTCTTACTTGATTGAATAATAAGAATCATCAAATACTGTAGGTAGTGTATGTTTGTAGTATTATCATTCTCCATAAAACGCAAGCCTCTTACAGTACTGTTGCGCCATAGGATTAAATGGTTCGATTGTATGGAATGTGGAAGACAGCGCCCTCTAGTATCGACCAACTACATCTATTAAGATTGAGGTTAATAGTAGTTGTAATCCTTCCAGTGCTAGATGGCGCTGCAAGTAACGCGTAACTGACTCTGGAATATTCGTGTTGGTCTGGAACGGACTAGGAACTTTCTAGTAAAATTTCAAAGCGCAATAAAAGCGGAGCCGTTGGCCGTTCGACACAGTTTAGTTTTACGACACAGCGAATTAACATCGGATTGAATTTCTAGTGCGACTAACAAGATTTATAGTGATTCCTATCTCGTGCGCGACCGTCCCGCTGGGTGACAGACAGTGGCGGGGGCGAGGTAGCGCGTCATTCTAGCACACGGCTACACACGAAGAGGAGTGTTTCCCTTCCCCGCTACACCACCCGCTACCCGCTGACATCTTGAGTACCTCGTCCCCGCCACCGTCTGTCACCCCGCAGGACGGTCGAGCACGCCGTTGATGGACTATAGTAGTGTTAATTAACTGACAACTTTTAATATATATATACCCAGCTCGTAACAGTACCATAACCATTTACTGCTCAAACTGTACCATCAAAACACGAGTAGCAACGGAAGATTATGATACCCGTATCATGGCTGGAACTAATAGTCGGATTTGTTTTTTTTTATTTATAAAATATTATGATGGTTAAATTCAAAGGGAGGCTGGCTACATCAATGATCATCATCATGAACAGCCTTTTTTAGTCTACTGCTCACAAGAGGCCTCTCTTTAGACCGGAGGTTTAGGCCTAGGTACCATACCGCTGACCATCCAGGTGTGTATAGGGTTTATTTCAAATTTTCCTTCTCTTTGCAGTGCTGTTATTCTGTGCAATTTGCTCCCTTAGTAGGATGTAACGGCACCCGCGGTATGAATAAGGGTGGCGAGGTGACACTCCGTATTCTTAATCCGTCACCACACGGAAACAACTACAGGCTGGCTACACCTACAAAAAATCTGTACGTTTTTGTATGTATTAGTAAATACAAGTTAGAGAACACCAACTACCCCTATCTTTTTCAAACTTTTTGGGCCCTTTGTACATTACTTGTTTATAAAATTAGCGCTAGTTTCATTTTCACTTTGACTGACTGGGCGGTGGGTATAATTTTTATTAAATTTATTTTCCAAACTACATAATTTAAATTTTAATTATATAAATCATCGGGTAACAACAAACTTACAAACAGAGTGACAACTGATCCATTAATAGTATATTAATGACGATAATTATTTGTTGATTTAATATTATTATCAGATAACACATAGTTATAGTATAATCTATGGTTTTCGATAAAGTACTGTTTAATCCTTGCATCCATTAACGAAAACATTCGTTGTTCTGTAATATTACGCACAACACTTATAATTTAGATTGCTTATGAATGTAGTTGCGTAATAAGAGTGTGATAGTGAAACCCTACTCGTTATTTTAAAAATAATTGTTTGACGTCACTGCTTTTAAAAACAACTAGACCCGTTCCTTCGGTCGAGTATTTTCGAAGTCAAGTCAAGTCAAGTATCCGACGTTTGACTGTAAATGTGATTATATAGGAAAATTTCGCTTTATTGCTACTATTTTTTTTCAAATCTTTTATGACTTTTGGGAGATCGATGCTAAGGGGAACAATTTTGAGAAAATTTTTATTACGAGAATTGGCCTTCTGGTATAATAAACCCCCGGTATATATATAAAAATTTGAATGATTCCTTTTGTATGAATTTTTTATTTTTTTATTACGCTTCAGCGTGATTTGGGTACTCTCGGCTGTCTTCGGACCGCCAGCTTGCAAAGGGGCAGCGGGGGGCCGCGGGGGACGGGGGCGCTTAGTTAAATCCCTTTCCTTTTGTATACCCTTTTTTATGATTCAACAATTTGACTTAAAAACAATAGCCAAACTTTAAAAAAGGCATCATCACCATCAACGGGTTTAATATCTATGCGGGATTAGGCCCTCCTGGGAAATGAGGTTTTACCCTTTAAAACCACGCTGTCAGGCGGGTTGAAATAGGGTTTGTTTCAATTTTTCTTCTCTTTGCAGGGGCTGTTGTCCTGCTTTTTTTTCCCCTTAGTGGGCTCTTACGACACCCAGGGGGGGAATAGGGGATGATACTCTGTTTTCCCTTAATCCGAATACTCTAAAAAGGGGGAAAATACTTAAAACGCAAGTTAGACTTATGGATGGCTAAGGGATAAGTAGAAATTAAAAACCCAAAATTTTAAAAAAATAATTTTATCGTGTTTATACCTTTAGGTACATATTAATATTAATTTAAAAAAATACATATATGTGAATTTGGTATTTAAAAACTGTAAAAACACACTTGCACACTGCTCACTTAATTCTCCCTTTTCCCTACCTAACACGAGAATATCAAATAAAATCTCTTACAAAAACTCAAAAGGTTTTAAACAAAGAACGAAAAATAATTGGTCTTTTTAAATTGCTTTGGGGAGTGTTTTTTTTGGTTTTTTAAATGACCATATTTGATAATTTGGCGCTCCACCACTGCGCTTACGCCTCGCCTATCTGGGAACAAGTTATCGCCTTCAGTACTTCGGGACCGATACAACCTTAAAAAAAAGAGCGTACTCCTTCCTAAAAAGTCGGCAAAGCGCCTAGGCTCCTATTCCCCGGCCCAAATCAGGTGCCCGTCTCTGTGTGCCCCCCTTTTCCCTTTAAAAAATAATAATAAGGCTCGACAAGAGTAATGTCACCGCCTCACAAAAAACCGGTGTTATTTTATTGTTTTTCATGGACTGGAAGCAGTTACCGACTTGTCAACCTGCCCCTTTTAAGTTGAAGGGGGGGGGGCCTTCAACTTAAAAGTTTAAAAGCAAACGTATCGGAACCCTGTCTCCTAAATCAGGGTAACCAGTGACTTAGGAGATTGTGTTCTACTGCTGCTTGTGCAACTATTTATGTAATACACTACAAAATTTTTGTTCCTGCCTAATACAAAAAATTTTAAATTTAAAAACAAAAACGGAATACTATAAAAATTTTTATAAAATATTCCACTGTGAAAAAATTAATTCTATAATAAAAAGTTAATTAAATTAACTTCTCCGGGAATATCCACATTAAAATATGTTATGTTTTGTTAAAATTAAAAAAAAAAATCAGTACTTATAGCTAGGCTAAAAATATATCTCAAAAGAAAAAAAATAGAAATTTCCAGAATTAAAAGGGGCAAAAAAAATTCTTTAAGATAGCTATACAAAAAAAGAATCCTAACCTAATTCAGTGACGTTATAACTTGGACTTTGGTTTTTTTTTAATACCCTAATTGCTTTCTTACGGGAAAACATGGCAAGTTCGAAACTTAAAGGGAAAGTTTTAAAATAAACATTCAATAGATGTCTCACCTTAAATCTCACTTTACCCCTTTAAAATATAAAGAGGGGCTCCTACTAGTGTTTTTTCCCCCTATCTCCCTTCCCCCTACTCTTCCTTTTCTCTATTCCACTCTTTCGCCCTTAGTCTTTTTGCGGAATATGGGGAGAAGTTTCATTTCTTGTTATTATATATTAGCTTTATCGATAATTTTTCGAGGCCAGGGAAACTTTGGAAAAAAAAAAGTGACTATTTTTTACATGATTATTTTAAAAATTCCTAAAGGCCTAAAAAACCACCTTAATAATTTAAAAGTCTGGGGGGAAAAGATTTAACTACCCAATGGTCAAATTGATAATTGCAATTAACTATTCAAAATGATCTGCATTTATTTACTTTTAATTAACTTATCCTGAGAATATCCACATTAATGTCTACGTTTTGTTACAAAAAAATACCTTTTTCGTCTGAAAGACATCGCTTCTTACGATAAGGAAGGCGGCCTTATTTTGCATTTCATGTATGTTATACATTTATTTTATATATATTGTTTAATGTATTATAAAGAATATTATTTTTACTTAAATGTTTTTGCCAGAAATTTAAATACAGATCAAGTTTTTATTGTAAATGTATCAATAAATAAATAAATAAGTTTGATAGTTTAGTGCCAAATTTCTTGGCCAGTTAAATTTTAGCCAGTTTCTGCATTGGATATTTTTGCATAACACAGTCAACATTTTTTAATAACGGAACGGAACGGAACATAATCATTAGAAGAACACTAGAAATGCTGAAGTATTTCATTCAACATAGTATATATATTTTCAAGCAACATAAAATACTCCATTGAATCAACTTCTGTGTCTTTAAAACAATCAAAGGCATCTACAAATTCTTTTTTCATAAGATATGAAAAGAAATAGTTCATTCATTTGCCATTTAATCACTTATCACCTTTACTTCTGGTTATTAATCGCTTATCACCTGTCCTTTTTCTTTCTTTCTAACTTATCATTTACTTGGCATATCTTTTTCACATATCACATTGTCATTACTCAAATGGCCACTTGTAAACTTTTCTCCTGTCTTCTTCTACGACACCTGGAAACCATCCGTGAACCCATGGTATGGATAGATTCCCCCAAGCACGTATTTGTAGTTCCCAAAGTGATGGATCCTGTAAGTTCCTTTGGAAGTTCCCACAGGAATCTCCCACTCGATCTCTACGTGGCTTGTTCCCATGACTTTGGAGTCACGAATCCAAGTAAACCTGGGTAAAAGAGAACATAAGAAATTTTGTTATTTAAATATTTTGGATGATCAGATAATAACAGCCATTACGAATATTCCAAGATGAACAGAACCATATATGACGGTCCCGTTAGTCTAGTGGTCAGTGGACCTGACTGTTAAACCGGAGGTCGTGGGTTCGATTCCCGCCCAAGACAAATATTGTGTGATGAGCACGGTTATTTGTTCTGTGTCAGGGTGTAATTTATTCATATATGTATGGATTTAAAAATATATAAGTATGTTTATCAGCAGTCTGATTACCATAGTACAGGCTTTGTCCAGTTTGGGACCAGACGGCCGTGTGTAAAAAAAATATATTATAATAACCCCCCTCTCGCCCTGATTCAAGGTGGGGTCTCAAAGGGCCGTACACTTGTGGCTCTTGAATTACAGGAGTTCATGGGCGGCGGTGATCACTTACCATCAGGGGACTCCCGTGACCTTGCACCCCCTATACCATAAAACAGTGCAACATAATGTGTAGGGTACATACTTGGTTTCCCAATCAGCATCAGTAGCTACCACGGTCCAGGCGTCGTCTTCTTCAGATTCAAGTTTTTCCACAGTCAGGTACCATTTCCCGTGGCGGATGCTGTTGCGAGGGTGGCCTGATACCTTAAATAGAATTTTGATTTAAATAGGATAAAATTGCTTTTCGATAAGTTTTTTGATGAATTTGATAAACGACTGTCTGTGAAGAAGGTCGTGGGTTCGATTCCCAGCGAGGATAAATAGACACCATTATTGTATATAGGAGGAGGACAAATACCTTTTTATAAATACATTTATATTAAAATACATTACACTAAGACATGTCCCGGGTGGAAATCGAACCTACGAACCCCGACTGAGCAGTCAAGATTACTAACCACTGGACCATCATTCATAATTTTAATATTTTTAAATTGCTTCATCTAATCCTTTATTTTAGCTGCACTGTCAGTTGCGATGGTGGTGTAATGGTCAGCATAGTTGCCTTCCAAGCAGTTGATCCGGGTTCGATTCCCGGCCATCGCACACTTTTTGTTAACCACATTTAACACATTATTACAATCCTATTAAATCCCATTGTTTTGATTCCAAAATATGGCAAATCGCAACCCAATTTTTTAGCAAGAAGGTAGAAAATTCTTTATTATCAGTATGTAAATGCTATATTTTTATTGTAAATAAAATTTATACTAACAAAATGTGCTATAACAATATCTCCATAGCTGTAATGTTTCTGGGGCTGCACCAAACAGTCACCGAACTCATGACCCCAGTGGGTAGAGTCCCATAGCACCGGGGGTACTAAGGAGATCAGCTGGGCACTTAGATCTGGAGGCTCTGGACCTGGCTCCAGAGACTTATCCTATAAAAATTAAACAGTTTTATGTGTTATAATTCTTTTACAAATAATATGTGTATTTCATACAAAAACCGGTAAGTGTGAGTCGAACTCGTGCGCCGAGGGTTCCGTACCTACCCATTATACCATTACCATATAATATATTATTTTATTATCTTTCACACAATAGCACAATTTTATTTATTTACCTTATTGGTTGGTGCCAATTAAGATAGTCCTTTGAGTTGTATGAGCGCCCATACAACTCAGAGAATTATCTTAATTGGCGTCAACCCAATTTTATGTATGGGGGGGCCCCCCTTTGGGCCAAAAATTTACAATTTTGGGGTTTAAAAAACAAAGGTTTTTCAGAAAAAGTAAAGGGAAAAAAGCCGAAAACAAAAAAGTTGAAACCCCAAGGGGAAATTTTTGGGGACTTTTTTTTTCAAGTTTTTTACGAAAATTTAATTTTCCCCTATCTTTTTTTCGGGGGTTTGGGTTGGGCCTTTATTTTTTTCAACCCAATAGGGAAACCCTAGGCCCCAGTATCGGGTATAAATTTAAACTTGCTAGGGCCACCCGTTTCCCGAGAAAAACCCGTGGTGAACCCCCCCCCGGACCCCAAGGACAGACGGACAAGGGAAAATGAATTTTTATGAAGGGTTTCCCTTTTTTACTTTTTTTTAGGTACGGAACCCCAAAAAACTTTAAAAAAAATTTGTTTTGGGTTTTTTTTTTTGGGTTTTTAAAGGTTAATTTTTGTGCCTAAGGTTGGGAAGGGGGAAATGTTTTTTTTTTTCAAAAAACCATGATCAGTTTTATAACCCTTTTCTGAGACGGGGCCAGGGACGAGAAAAAAAGTGATCTTATAAGGGTTCCTTTTTTACCTTTGAGGTACCGAACCCCAAAAAAATTTAAAAGGTAAAGGGAATTTCAGTTATTTTCCCAACAACCCAAAATATCCCAGTATTTACTTTCTAAAGCTTTTCATTCCTTTTTCATCCCTTCCCCCCCTCCTTTTTAAAAAAACTTACCGAAATAAAAACCTCGGTGGGGGTTTCCCCGTACGTTTTTTTTTAAAAAATTTTTGGGGTATGAGGACCCTAGATGGTTGAAGCAGCTTCATACCTTTTCGCCCCGGGGAAAAAAAAACATTGAAAAAAATACATCTATGGCTTTGGGAACCCACCCAAAAAAGGGAAAATTTTGGGGGGAATTTTGCACCAATGTTACCCCGATTTCCCTTTGATGATTTTAAATGGTTTTTTTATTTAGGGGAAAAAAGCTTTTATGCTTTAAAATTATTTTCCCCTCTCTCTCTAGGGGGGATTTTTATAGAGGGGGGGGGTTTCTGCTTTTTTAGTCAGGGGCTTCATCTTCAGTAGAAGACTCTGAAGCCTTTTAGTCAAATATAGAGCAACTGAATTCTTCACTCTTACAAAAGTCGTAACGAAAATAAGCTTTGGCCTTTAAGCCCTTCTGAATTAAAAAGAGTGTTCATAAAAGTCACTGTATTATCAATAACTCTTCAGTTGCTAGCAAGCAAGCTAACAAACCCCTCGAGCATAGGCTTATGTGATTGGGTTTGATAAGTCATTAACAGACATTAACAGATTAGACTTAAAAATGATGGTCTAATGATCAAGGCAGGTGCTGGACGGGCTGGTACTTTTTAAATTCTCAGTAAAACTTTGACGTTTGATTGTGATGATTATTATAACCTCTCTTACTATACGGGTCGGTAATAAAAGAAAATTAAAGAATCGTTAGTTGGATACTTCTTACCTGATACTCTTCAAACGTAGCCACATAATCCGAATAAATATTTGAAAGTCCAGCGATCACCACTTTCCTTGCATCAGGAGCAGTCTTGGAGATGATGTTCCTGAGCCTCCGGCCCGACATGGTAGTGAACTCCCCTGGAACTGCCGCCAGGAAGAAACTTCCGATACGGGCAACAGAACAAGATACAACTTTGGGTTGCCACTCGTAGGGGAACTTAGCCTGAAGGAAATAGACGAGACAGGTCTTCAGTCACATTTGATAACACTTCTCACTCACTTACACACTCATTCACCAATGAAAGAATGGGACAATAAACGAGGCTTTATGTTAGACCTTAGCAGGAGGTTTATCACAAGTTCCTTCAAATAATATTCTTGGTTATACTTGACAAAGCATAATCTAGACGAGTTTGGACCTCGAATCTATTTTGCGTCTTTAATAGTGTCCAAATCCCGTACAAAATGACAAGCAGACGAAATCATCAGCTTACCGGCTGTTCGGTCGACACTGTCATTTAGATAATATGTACTAACCCGTCCTGTAGCTAATAGAATAGGTTTGGGTGCTTGACACTTGATGTCGTCTTTGGTGGGTTCAGCGATAAAATCTCTAACAGCGTTCCAGAGAGGATTGGATGTGGTGGTGCCTTGCTTGAAGTCAAAGGCGCCAGGACCGTCCGTAGTTCCTGCTGCAAAGCTGTAACCCATTGCTGGCAGGCAGCCTCGCACTTTCTCACTCTGTCAGAAAATAATCACTTAAAGAATTACAGTTCTATGTAGTACCTAGAAAACCAGAGCATTTTATTTTTTGTTATATTTATCGACTTGGGTGCTAAACAAGAACGTAAGAGATACATACAATACAATAACACGTAACAAATAAACACGTACAATTTGACAGAGTTCGCAAATATTCTCCCTTAAACCTGATACTTTAAGAAATAGAGTTGAAAATTGGTTTTACATATTAATAGAAACAGGTAGGCCAGAAGAAAAGTCAAACTAGGTTTCAATAACGTTCTGGGAAAAACTGGAGGTTTTAACTTTAATAATTTTTATAAATCTAGTGTCACCCTCACAATTAAGATGAATTTAACGACACCACAAACGTCATACACACGTTCCATACACACATACACTTGAAAAAATAACCCCCTTGATGCAGTCAGGTAAAAATAGAGAAAGCGAACAAAATAGGTCGACAATAAAAGTTTAAAGTAAACTTACATCATTAAAAGTTTCCGTGATTGGATCGTAGGCCGCTACCTCTTCTTCTGACATCTTGACATACTGATGAACAATGCCTAAAGGACCTGTCAGGTCCTCACCGGGCTCGTTTAAAACTTTCTGGAAGTATTAGTCATTAGTATTAGTCATAAATCACGTTTTTATTCCGTATAGTAGTTTATAGAGGCTTATAATCTTGAGGGAATAACAGACACAGACAACTTTGGCATTAAAAAGAAACCTCCTCTCTAAAAAGTGTTGTAACTTATGGAGCCGACCCAATTTTTACAAGCTTTTATGCAATGCTTGTGTCTATGTGTGTTAAGCACGAATCTTGGTAGCTAAATTATAACCACTTCCCGATGTCCAATTGAGCTCAAATCAGGTGTATTTTCAGTAATAATATGATACCATTGAACTGTTCTAATGATGGAGCCGGAATACGGCCATAGGAACTTCTTTACTTAACAAGATTAACCCATGAGTTTGGGCTCATTCATTTTGTCTACTTTGGTGATACATAAAAGGCAGGGTCTATCAAATTACAATGAATTTATTTATAAAGACAACTAAAAGTCATCTATAATTCTGACTTGGCTAATGTGCCAGAAGTTCAGATGTCAGTTTTAAACCAAACAAAACCCTAAAGCTTTCTGCCACGGATAGTCAATTGTGGAACTTCATGTTCGTGGAAAATCAGCGAGATTTTGAAGACTTCCCTGTAAAATCAACGCCTACGACTAGCCACCCAAATACCACAAAATACTGTCATCATACTGTCTTAGTTATTCCTAGATTTATACTCTTCCTCAATGTATTTCAATTCTTACCATAGCAGTCTGGAACATCTTAGTGGCAATAATTCTGGTGCTCTCAAACATATCCCTGCCAGGTCCAGAGGCAAAGCATCTTTCTTTAGGCAGTTTACATAGAAGCTTCTCTTGATCGCATACCTTCCCGGAGAACTCGCAATGAGGACCACGAGTGTTCGGAGATACATCACCCAAATTTGTGGATGCGAATGCACAAACAATGCTACCCTGAAAATGGGAAAACAAGGAGAGAAATAAGAGAAGAAGAAAAAAGTTTTATGAAACCTCCATCGCTGATAACTTAGTCTAAGTCTAAGTACGAGAGCTGATCCTCCTATGAGTTCATACGCTGATTCTTATATCATCATCATCATCAACAGCCTTTACTAGTCCACTGCTGGTCATAGGCCTCTCCTTAGAAAGGAGGTTTTGGCCTACTACACCACGCTGGCCAGCATGTTGGTATAGGATTTGTGTCAAGTTTTCCTTCTCTCTGCAGTGCTGTTGTCCTGCGTAGTTTGCTCGCTTAGTCGGCTCTTACGACACCCACAGGATGAATAGGGGTGGTGACACTCTGTATTCCTAATCCGTCACCACACGGATCCTTATATAAGAGTAGAATATTAAGAAATGAAGTATAAAGTTTATTACAATTCATTACAATGTAGAAGTGTTGAAGTCTGTTATAGTTTATTAAAACCCAATTATTCTTCACGTTTTTTAAATTTTAAACGCTAGACGCTATTTTAATCATTCGTCATGGCGTCCGTGAAGCATAACTTTTATTTCTAAACTTATTCGTCGTCTACTAGAGCATGTACCCGAAGGTGGTGCCCTCGCCGTTTCGGGCAGGCGCTAGGAGGGGTCTGGACGTTCTAATAACAGCAGTCCCCGGATCCCAACTAAGTGGCAACAGAGTGGCACACCGTATGGTTTTAGTCGGTCCGATTCCGAAAACACCACTCAGCCGCAAACCCCGGTAGGGTGACATCCCGAGAAGGTTTTCAAACGTTACAAAAGAAAAGCGCTGTACGCAAGGCTGTTTCCTTAGAGAATAGCACTGCTGGCCAGCGTGATATAGGTGATACAGTAGGCCAAAACCTTCTTTCTAAAGAGGTGCCTATATATAGAGGCCAAGCAGTGGACTGTTATAGGCTGTGAATGATAATGATAAACAGCAATAAACAATCAGAGCATCTAACCTTCCCTGGCAGAGTTGTGTTTCCATTGAGAGCCTTCTCCATCAAGATTGAAGCATAGCCCACGTTGTCCGAAGATACTAGGTGGTTGGTGTTATTCATGCTAGTAGGGTGAACTGCAAACCAGTTGATCACACCCAGGATTTTGTCGTCTGGGGTTACAAAACGAATCTGGGAGAGAGTTTTGTCGACATCATATTGGTACCTATAGAAAAATATTTTGTGAGTAGCTGGCGTTTAATTTATGAAACTTTGTGCGATATACACAAGAATATGAATCTTTACATATAAATTCCTTGCTCTGGCCCTGGCCCCTGATTGATTGATCCATCAAGGCAGAGCCTAAAGCGCCTAAAGAGCTGGTGCTTTTTATGTTGTAAACACCCACTAAAAAAGACTTTTTGAACATTGCACCCCTAAGAGATAAAATAAGGGATGATATTGAATGGAAGTTCGTCATTTGCAAAGACAGAAACACGAAATAATAAATAATTACATATGCGAAGTCGCAGGCAATAATAACTACTAGTAAATAAATAAATAAACAAATTTTTGATTAACTAAAAAATTTAACACATGATTTTATGGTTTTTGGGCTCCTAGTAGTAATAACTGAAATTGCAGAAATTAAACTATCAAATTAGAGTTGTAACAAGCCACTAAATAATTATTTTAACGCCATCTAGTAAAGACCATCTGAACTAAATACTAATTAATGACCCTGTATCGCGTAATGGAAGTTAAGAGGTTGGTAGGTCCTGCATTTGTGGTGAAGGGGTTTAAACTTTAATTGTACAACATTGGGTAATTACTGATCACTAAAATCTGATTACAGGGATAGCTCATTTTGTAAGAAAAAATACTGGCTGGCTTAAAAAGGATAAAAGTTCCTGAAACACCTTCCACCTTCTATACCTGGCTCTTTCCTCTGGTGGGTTTCTTAAATAAGATGTTGGTGATCGGTTGATGTTGGCGTCCAGTAGTTCAGCTTCGCCATACACCATCCGCGCTTCTGTCAACTTGTTGTGCGCAATCAGTATACTCTAGAAGGTTAAGAGATAATATCAGTAGGTGCACTTTTTAATTTTAATATATTTACACAACATATAAATTTTTGTTTAAAAAAAATGACAAATCCCGCACTAGGAATATATCCTGTGTCGCGGGGGACTTTACAAACATACATAAAACGGACAGAAGGAATACCCAGACTAGGAACAACAATTTGTGGATCACACAAAGCGTCGTCCCATGTGGGGATCGGACCCACAACACTCAGTAGTAAGCGGCAGGCGTGGCGATCGCTTAAACCACTACGCCATTCGTGCAGTCCAAGTACCCTTTCGGATATATAAACTCACTGTTATATATCTGAGGGGGTAAGCATATTCATAACGTGGGAGACCCATGCTTTGACACTAGGCCTGGAAATTATGCTACTTTTAAATCATATTTATTTGAATAAATGATTGGCTTTAGTCACAGCACTTTCACATGTGATTATGATCTCGTCATAGACAAAGATAAATGGCAATCAAAATTCTTTTTATCAAAGATTACGACCTTTTTTTAGATTGAGACCTTTTGCGAGTCTTGCGTTAGCGTAATAATAATAATTAAGTAGTAGTAGTTTTGTAAATAGCGGTGTGATGATACGATTTATAAATCATACAATTTATCGCATGTGATTGTGATTTTAGTGCATCCCTATTCGCCACAATTGGGCCTGCCCCAAGTGTGAGTGATCCCACGGCCTCAAGGAAGGAATTTATTCGTTGCTTTTCAACGAGTGAGTGAGGTTACAGGAACCCAAATTCCCCTCCCCTGATTCTGGAACAAGGACTTAAAGGGCGGTAACGCATCCATGATTCTTAAATTCCAGGTGTCCGTGGGCATGTCGGGGTACCAGGGACTTCCTTTCTAGGGTATACCTGGTTCCCCGGCTATTAGTACCCGAGACGGCGTGCGGTTTTAGTCGGTTCGAGTCCGACATGCCACCGACGGGTGGTATCCGAGGGGATTTCCGCACGGAACAAAAAAAAAAAAAAAAAAAGTCTTCTCGTGTCTCATATATATCGTTTACCCATTGGTAATGTAGAATTATTTATTCGTATTCTAAGTAAATTAAAAAATTACAAACCAAATATTATTTTCTTTATTAGTTTAGTCCGGTCAACATAGACATTCACCCTTGCATAAATTCCCAAAAGGAACGTTAGCGACAACATTTTAATTAAATCGCGAAAATTCCCAATCAATTAAAAAAAAATATGCAAGCTCAAAGTTCGCAAAAATGTCTTTTTCGGATTTTTTTGCGACACGGTTAGTTTTATGGTAAAAATAGTCCCTTAAGATTCACCATTTCTATCGGTGGCTATCGGTCTTGTATTCACTGGTCTCTTTGATAGTCATTCGTTCATTAATTACTATATTTAATCGAATCCGTCTTGTATATAAAGAATCTTCGAGAAAGGTTAAATTCGAGTTGTACCTCTCTATTATCCGGATACCAAGTTCAAAAAGAGAATTTCCATGATGCCACTATTTCCCTTGTATTTTCTCATACTTACTTTGAGAATTCCTATAATATATGAAGCATACGTCTCCTTAACGAAGCCGAGGATCGGCAGGTCGAACAGGAAGTCCATAAGGAACCCTCCAGGAGTGGAGTGAGTATGAGTTCCACTGATGATCACGTTGTGTTCACCGTACATGTCACCGAAGCGTTTGTGAAGGCGTTTGATCACCTAAGAATGATGGTAAAGCATTTAAAATTTAAAACTAAGGCTGTATTTAATATAAATGAGGTCGAGGAAGCAGATCATACAGATGTAGAACTGAGGAGTTTAGACTACCAGCTATGAGGTCTGGACTATGTTTACGGAGTGTGACTGTGACACACAATCCCACTTTCTGCTGTTCACTGGTACTTTTCGAAGTCCAAAGAAAGTCCTTAATTTTATTTATGTATTTTTAGGCCTATATCCAGCAGTGGACGGCTTTCGGCTAAGAAGAAGAAATAACTTTACGTTAAATGGCGAGAATGGTGGTCTACTGGTTAGTGACCGTGATTGCTAAGCCGGAGGACGAGGGTTTGATTCTCACCGAAGATAAATAATTGTGTGATGAGCATGTTTGTTCTGTGGCTTGGTGTAATTTATCTATAATACGTATGTATGTTTTTAGAAATTTACATAAAATTATTTTTATCAGCAGTCTGGTTACCATAGTACGGACGTTGACGCAGGATCAGGCTGCCGAGTGTGACAGGTGTGTATTATTATTAATTACAATTAAAAGCAAAATCTTACCTCTTTTCTAACACCATGGCCCATCATAGCAGCGTCAACAGACACAAATACAAGTCTCTGTGCCTTCTCGCCGCTAGTGTCTTCGAACACAAACGCCCTGGAGAACTGCCGCAGGTGGATGCCACGACCGGTCTGTTCCAGCTGTGCATAGCCCATCTGTAAGTAAGCAGAAGTGTTCGTAAGAAAACATCTACAATATCAGATTACTGATGCTGTAAGCCCACTCCTCGTTTATGAAAATTACTACCATTTATAACAAATTGTAATTTAAACACTAATGTTAAAAAAAATCTTTCTTTTTAACGCGCCTTTATTAGCTTGGGATGTATGTACCTTCACACGTCTCACACATTGCCGTCTGAACCCAAACTAGGCAGAGCCTGTGCTATGGTAACCAGACTGCTGATAAACATACTTATATATTTCTAAATACATGCATATCATAGAATTACACCCAGACACAGAATAAATCATCGTGCTCATCACACAATTATCTATCCTGAGTGGGAATCGAACCCACGACCTCCGGCTTAGCAGTTAGGGTCACTATTCACTAGACCAACAGGGCCGACCTATTTATGTCCTTATGTATGTATCTATGTATGTATATAATGGAATCTTCGAACGTAATTTTGACCCACTTCAAAACGTCGAATTAAATTGGAACAGTCATCAAGGACCGATTACAATAAAATTTATATATAAAGTCGGAGAGTTGTATGAAAATTATATACTATAAAAAAAAATGATATTGTTTTTATTTTAGGTAATCAAAGTACTGGCCCAAAAAATCTCTATACAATTTTGCCATTTGATGGCGGTTTGTTTATCACTTTACTGTAGAAGTTTGCTGGACGGGAGGCGATGAAGTCAGCCAAAGCGTTTTTTACAGCCTCATCATAATCATCATCATCAGCCTATCGCAGTTCACTGCCATTCGGGTGTTGAATTGCAATTCTTGGCAATAGACATCTACCCTCACTATTGTGCCATTCAGTAAGAAGCTGTGGTGTACATGAATGAAGTCCGGCACTGGTCCACCAGACAGTACCTACCATCATCTTTCTAAAGGCATTTGTTTAGCGCATTTTCTGTGTCGTTGGTAGAATGCAGAGTTATATTTCCTAGGGTACACCCAAGTCCTTTGCAATAGACCCACATAGAACGGAACACCGTATGGTATTAGTAGGTTCGATTCCAACATACCACTTTACCGTGAGCCTCCGGTAATTTGGTGACCCGTGGAGATTTCCACATGAAAAAAAAGGTACGAATGGTAGACTTTGTAATTAAATGATATTTTCAATACCTGGATGACCGGATGACCGATATCTATAATTGAAATCTCGGAAACGGCTCCAAAAATTTTCATGAAATTTAGTATGTATGGGGTTTCGGGGGCGATTAATAGATCTATATACAAGAAATGCTCGTTTAAAGGTATTAGATATTAAATAACTGAACCAATTTTAAATTGTTAACTAGTACTTATACTACAAATACTAATACCTATACTATTATTTATTGACTAGCTGACCCGCGCAACTTCGTCTGCGTCTCTCAATAGTAATAAATTTTCTCCGTTTTTGAAACATTCTTCATTGGTGCTCCGCTCCTATTGGTCTTAGCGTGATGATATATAGCCTAAAGCCTTCCTCGATAAATGGGCTATCTAACATTGAAAGAATTTTTCAAATCGGACCAGTAGTTCCTGAGATTAGCGCGTTCAAACAAACAAACAAACAAACTCTTCAGCTTTATAATATTAGTATAGATTTGAAAATTTCCTACACCCCACACCATGAACAACAAATAGATCGAACGCTGTTAAAAACTGGAAATAAAATACAATGAAGAATTACAAAAGAATACACAAGGGCAATTTTCAACACCTTGTTATGAAATATTACCGATTGTTTTAAGAAACAGTTTCATTCTAAGAGTCGGCAATGAGCAACGGTTCATTGTCCATGTTTCAAAACAAGGACTTGCAAAAGATACAAAAGAGATGATCCGATGGGAACGGTTAACTTTGGCTGTGTTATTGTTATTTATTTGTTTAATACTTTATGGACAACCAGCAACCCCCGCCTCGGCTTCGCACGGGTGCAATATTTGTTTTAGCAACAGCCTTTAATAGTCCACTGCTGGACATAGGCCTCTCCTTAGAAAGAAGGGTTTGGCCTACAATACTACGCATGCCAGACGGGTTGATATAGTTTTTGTTTCAAGTTTTCCTTCTCTTGAACTCTCCTTAAAATATTTGTTTGTTTAAATTTTAAACTGAGTAACACATTATAGTCAGGCTGGTATTTTAGCATTTTTTTAATGGGACTAATCCCTCCCACACGCCCACCACTGTAACTTCTGTACCCCAGGATCAATAGCAGTGAGCCACGAACACACCGAGTTATGACACTCGGAAATCCCAGGAAAAAAATAAACTGTCTTGGAACCCGCAACGAAATTAATCAGAAGAAAATTGAAGGAGTTGGAAACAGTAAATCCACTTCCCTCCTTAGCAAAGCGAGAGACAAACTCTGAATATGCTGATGACGGCTTTTTACTGGTGGAATCTGATACTAGGGCGGGGCTTGAGAGATTGGCCAATAGATGTTTGAAATTGATATCTCAATGGGGTGAACGTAATCGCTTAACTTTTGCACCCAATAAAACCTTCCAGCCACTTTTAAAAGGTAACCTCAAATCACCGCCGAGCATTAAATTTGACAATGTCACTGTAAAAAATAAAATCTCAGTGTGTTATTTAGGAGTAGTTTTCAGAAAGACACTTTAATTTATCAAACTTATTAAAATAGTTATTGAAAAGTCTAAAAAGAGTTTCTGTGCATTGACAAGGATATCAACGGCGACATGGGGTCTATCATTTAATACACCGAAGATCATATACGGAGCTACTTATTTAGGTTCTATGTGCTATGGTGCATCTGCATGGGCCGATAGGGCGACCGTAGGCGCTGTCCGTCGCAAACTGTTACAAGGCCAACGACTTGCACTGATATTCTTGTGCAAGGCATATAGGACGGTTAGCACTGAGATGTTGGCGGGGGTGCTTCCGGTCGATCTCGAGGTGCAGAAACAAAAATTAAAAAACATGCAGCAATGGCACGCAATGGCAACAACGCTGGGACGAAGCATCTTAGGGGCGCCACCTTTACCAGCTCTTTCCATCTGTTTGCGAACAGTTGTCGAGGACATGGCTTGAGGTGGATCACTGTGTCGCTCAATTTCTTACTGGTCATGGTAACTTTAAGAGCAAGCTGTATTCATTTAAATTAGTCGAGTCACCATTGTGTCAAAGCTCAACACCTAACTCTCACTATGAACAGTCTGCTCATCATATTCTCTGGGAATGTAGTCTTTGGTATAATGAACGTAATATAATGCTGAATAGATTGCAGGTGACATCTAAGGCGGTATACTATGGGGATCTTGTGTCAACTAGGGTGATTTTCCGTGCGTTTAAGCGATTCTGCCATACATATTATAGAAATCAAATCTAGCTCACTTAGGACCCATAATGGTATTTTGGCATGTATGAAAGTACTGCACTAACATTCTTTAAGATTTTGAAATGAACAACTGTTTATATAGTTGCTCCTGCGCCCTCACCTCCGCACCCCGCCCACTATTGTCGCACGGCCAGCGGCAGCGACAACGCAATAATTTTACCGGCTTATTGTTTTTATTTCGATTTATCTTCTGGCGAACTCCATAAATTAATATACTAAAAAAGTAAACTTTATCTCCATGAAATTTCCATTATGATTTAGCTGTTCCTTTTTATAAAAAAATGTAAGTATACGTGAAACCTGCATCATAACTTAATCTTGTAAAATTTATTTTACTTTTAACATAAAAAACATCTTTTCAAAGAACAATGGCAGAAACATATTTACCTAAAACTTAAGCGTTTAAAAAATCGAGTCACAGTAAACTTAATCAAATTTTTTTCTATGATTTATCATTACACCACCATGTGTTGTATAAGTCTTATAAGAGATAAGATATTTTTGAAGATTTTATTTGACCTAAGTACGTAATGTCAGATTCGCCATCACGTATAACTGACTAGGGATGCGTTGTGGGCAATATTATATTATGGAAAAATTTATCGATAATCGATTCTTATAGCTTTGGCTGAAATATTTACCGAAGGTTCACTATTATGATTATGAATTTGCTTCTGCCCACGTCTTCACTCGTACGGTAGAGTGACTGAATCAACATAATTAGAAATGATTTAAAATATTTTTGACTCTCTTTAAACGATTTTAAACACACTAAAGAAATAGAATATAGTTACGTTATTTTCCACTACACAGTGTGATGAGAAAAATACATTGTCATTGATAACGGCACATAAATAGACATACATCGATATTTTCAAAATGTCGATACGTCGTCGTTTAGTACATATCTCTTAATCTGTGGTTTAGATCCTGTCAAGTTCTGGACTCACCACGTTTGTTATTTTATTTTTGTTTAATTTAGTGTTAAACTCGAATAGATGTTATGCTTTTATTTTTTTTATTTCATATACTGTAATAATAATGAAAATAATATTTTCGGCTATTTGACACACAACGCCATCTAGTTTCAAACAAAACATTAACAATATGTTAGTACTTAACCTCGAAACATTCAAAATCCAATATCTTTTTTCCTAGACTTCTTTCGCAAGTAATTTTGATATGAGAATGGTCAAGAATAAATTCTCAAGTGTTAAGGATTTTTTGATATTTAAACGCTAACATTTCAGTTCAAATAAAATTATGTATGGGGACCTGCCATTGTCCTTTAGAGATTGTGTCGTGGATTTTTTTGTAAAGCTAAAAGTAATAAATAATTTTGCCAGGTTCGGGAATCGAACCCGAGTCCTCATGGACTGCAGTCGCGTACACACTAAGGCAGCGCGGGTACCAGCTAGTAGATAATAAAAGACGAGTACGTTTACTATACTTCCAACTACAGTGAAACAAAAAAGTACTTCACTGACATCTAGTGAAGACAAACCGAACCACGTAGTACTAATAATCCTGTGACGCGAAATAAAAGTTCTCTCTCATTCTTTTGTACAACTTCCAAACAAAGCTGGACCGCAATCTATTTTACTCTATTAATGGATTTATAAA